CTTGCGGTTTCTGTCGGAGCCTGGAGATCATGTCCGAGAACTGGGCTGGTGTGCCCGAGCGTGAATGTAACTTGAAGGAGACCGGTTGATATCGCGTAGACCAGGAGTCTCCCAAGACATGCTCAGTTGGTGGTGAAACTTGCACCGCAGTGACGCCTGCAGGCCCCAGCCATGTCTCACACTCCTCAGCAATTGCAGGCCAAGGCCACTCGAAAAGGTGCACCATGATGTGGTTTTGCATGGACATGTTGCAATGCCTTGACCAGATTTCGGCACCCACCAGTGGCTGATCCGGAATCTGCCCAGGAAAGCGGGGATCGCAGCTCCACACTTGGCAGCGGCCTTCATCCCAAAAGGCGAAAGTATTCCCGTTGAGCCGCTTCATTCGCTGGTGACAGTTGAACTTGCCAGTCGTACTTTGGCCGAACTTGTTCGTTCCGTATGGGCCATGCCCAAACTCAGCGAAGGTATCCGCCGGGCGTGTGTCCGTCTCGTCTGCGATGAGGCGGCACAGGCTTCGTGAGATGCCCTGCTGCAAACATCGCCGAGCTGGTTCGAAGGGAAAAGGCTTATGGACCAGCACCACTTCTATGACAAGTGCTGCTATCCCAAGGCAGCAACCGCAGCCTATGGCCAGCCTGGGAGGTAATCTTCGCAAAGCCATCGCATGCTTAATGGAGCAAGCCTGAATCGTCCTGCAGAGACAGCCGCAGCGGGCTTGGTTTATGCTGGCGCGACGTGGAGGGTCACGATACAAAGAACTCGAGGATGCGACCCCAAGGTCTTGTCGGATGCAGGGTGCTGCAAACATTTGCACCACAAACTGGGCCAAGCAAAGCGGAACTACTGAAACGAGTGATGCGTTGGCCAGCTCCTTCTCATTGTCAGAAATGAAAGAGCTGCCGCGTCTCCGTGCAATGACTTCGCAAAGGAAGGGAGAGACTAGACTGGCTAGTCCTTGAAGAATCACCGAAACTGTCCCATAGCTGAGAAGCCTCCACCTGGAATTCAGCACCCGAACCTTCACGGCCCATGCCGAGGAGGAACGAATTCCTTCAAGTATCAGCGACAAGCAACAAATAGCCAATGCAGTATCTGAGCGACCAAGGAACGTAAAGGTCGACACCTCGTCCTGTACAACAGCACGCAGCATAGGTGCTGGTGGCAGCAGCAGCGTTATGCCAATCAAAAGGGCAAGACCGTGTACTGTCGCGTGCTCGAGTGTCCTTGCCCAGCAATAGGTCACAACTGCAAGGAACATGGCGAAAGCCAGGCTAAGCCATGCGAGATCTTGCCCTTTCCAGCCATTGGCGAACCACCAGCGGATGTAGCAAGTGCTAGGGAAGAGGGCTAGACAACCCAACACGTCCGAAAGCGAAAGGATGATGAAGGTCCGCCGTTTGCAGAAGAGGTTCAGCTCCCAACCTGGTAACCGATCGTCGCGATATGGGCCTGGAGCAGCCAGAAAAAGCGCGCCTGGCACAACCGTGGCCAAGAAAGTTACCAATGCCAGGGGTGTTAGAAGAAGTATGACCGAAGGTGGCAGCGGCTGCTCCTCTGAGCCAACTTGCGTTGAAGGCGATGTCAAAAAGATGTAGCCCGTGATGAGCCATGTGACGGCGTTCCTGACCATCTCCAAGATTCCCATCCGCTTAGCCGCGTGGCTAATGTCGGCTTTAATAGACAGCATGAAATTGAATGCCACAAAGAGCAGGGAGCCGGAGCTGAATAAACCTTGCAGAAACACCACGGATGTTGCAAGTGAAACATTGGGTCGATGAACCGCGAGCATGGTGAGCAGGACAGGGACCTGGAAAAGCATCGCAGCTGCTAGCAGCCTGCGAGGCTGTATCCAGCATGCGGCGAATGTCCACAACGGGGCACCCAGGGCTGTAGAGAGGGCGTTGGTCGAGAACAACAGCATGTTTAAAATGGGTGGGTCTAAGCCTCCGTTGCCGAATACAGTCTTGAACCATGGGAACCGCTTAAACCATTCCGGAAGCTCCGTGGAACCTCGAATGCCCCACTCTGTGGCCACGACGAGAATCAGCAAAGATGATAGTGGGCATGCGATGTATCCGCATGACACTAGCCAGTGAATCCGGGCAGTTCCTAGCCAGTGGGCGGTGAGCCACTTTGACACAGGACTCGTTTCATATTCCGAGTCTCTATCGGAACCTATGCTACGCAAGATAGTTTCAATATCCTGATCCAAAATATCCAGCTTGGCTCTGACCAGCGTGTTCAACTCTTCCTCAGACAGCTCCTGGCGAAGGATGAACTCCTCGGTGGGCAGCTCGTGAGACCCGTCTTGGCTTTCCAGGTAGGAGCCGGAAAAGGAGACAGCCGAAGGGCCTGAAGGGCCTGAAGCCTCCACATGCTCCAGTTCTGGGTGGTGTGTAGGAAACCAAGTTGCCGGCAGCCTCGCTGGCGACTCGAGCGCTGCAACGTCACGTGTGTCCACGACCTGCTGGTACAGGTCAAGCAATCGGTTTTGCCAGTCCTCCACAGGAAAATTGCACTGCAAAGCCTGTCTGGACAAGGCATGGAGAGCAGAGCTCGGCGCCCGCATCGCTGCAGAGATGACACTTCGCAGCTCGCGTCTCAGCCGTGTCAGGCTCTCTCTGTTCTGCGCAACATAATAAAACCCGGGTACTTTACCCAGCCCACCGGCCTGTGCACCCACAATCACGGCTCCACGCCAAGCAAACTCCACGTCTACGTATCCAAATGGCTCATCACGCGAGGGCATCAAGCAATAGTCGCTGGCCCATTTCAGGTCCTCTGGAACTTCGAGGAACTCGCAACAGACGCTGAGCCGCCCTTTGAAGGCTGCAGTCTCTGCAAGTTTTTCGAGCTTTCGTGCGGCATAGAAGCCAAAGCCGTCAGCTGGTGGCCCAATAACAATCAGCTGGGCCTGAGGGTAGGTGGAGAGCAGCCACTCTGTCACATCTGCTAGTAGGTCGACACCCTTCTGCCTGACAAGACGGCCAAGTGAAACGAAGAGCCTGGCATCTGCGTCTTCTTTCAAGCCGAAATGCTCTTGGCATCGGGCTTTGGCTTCGGCCTTCTGAGTCTTGAGGTCAGCTCGCAAAGTTGCCCGCTCCTCCTCCAGCATGGGATTGTCAAGGCCACGGAACTTTGGAAGCCTCCAGAAAACGCTGTACCTGGAGTGGCACTCCGCAGCGTAGTATTCAGAAACTGCACATGCTCCAACCCCTTGCTGCTTCTCTAGTAGGAAGTCCACGGCAGCCTTTAGCATGTTGAAGCGCCCTTCGAAAACAAGATGCTGCTTGACAAACATCTTCGGCACATTGAACACTTCTGCCATCACCTGAAGCTGGTCTGAGGTGAGCATATCTGTTGCGATCGAACCTTGGTACTCCGCATTGTGAAGTACTAGAATCATCCGAAGCCGCGGGCACATTGGTAGAGCATACCATGGCGCAATAGCTGAGTGGAAGTCAGGACAGTGAAACACATCTGGACAATACGTAGCCAGCAGCTTACCAACACACTGATTCCACAGGGAGAAGAACTGAAGTACCTTTCTGCGGGACAGAGGATTTGGGTATAACGACTGCCGTGCACGCTCCTCAAACCAAGGGTGAGAAAGCAACAGAAACTGCCTTCGCACCCCGTCGCGGTCTTGAACGGCTTTGGATCGGTGCACCGTGACTGTCTGCAAAGTGCCGTCGACGCGGACTTGGATGGATGATTCTTCCGTGTCCAAATGGGAGTACTGAACCCTGTGGTCCTCTGCAACCTTCGGGTGGACCATGAGGATGTCTGTTGGATGATGCTTCGCGATCAAGTCCATGACTTTCCCGAGCCCTCCAGCAACCGCCTTACAAGCTGGAAGATGTGGTAGGGAATGCTCCAGCGAGGCCAGCATAACTCGAAATCGTCTGGAGGCCTCGCGTGTACCCGCAGCATCTGCATGCTCAGACTCAGAATCTTCAGCACGAAGAAGAGGAATGGAAGGCAACTCGACGCTGTCTTCCTCTACGATCGGGGTTGTGACCCGTCGCCTGCGTGCACAAAACTCGGCTAACCAGAATAAAAGCGAGGGCAGCGGCCACAGGATGCAAAGCCAAATCGACAGAATCGGAAAGGGTACGCCATCATCGAGCACAAGCGTGCTCAACTCGAGAAGCCTCCACATCTTGCAGAGATCATGCTCGGACAATTTGAGCAGAAACTTCTTGTCGGAATAATCGCTCATGCAATAATCTTTTTCTCCTCACAGAAACCCAGTCAACAGGTTTCAGGCTTCGTTGTGCTGGGTCAGATACAGGTAAGTGCCCTGTATTCGTGCAGCCCCTCTAACTCTTGGAACTCTGCTATCTACACCAAAAGCTCAGAAACCATCGGAATCCCTCTAGCCCGGCAGGTCTGTCGAGGCTTCCAGACTGTTCTGAAGTGTCTCAGACCTCTTACTTTCACTTTCCGCCACGGTGATCTGGTTAGACTTAGCATGCGAATGTGCCAGACCTGAAGCTCAAGCACATGATTGCCAATAGGCCGTAACGCTTTTCTTGTCTCCTTTCCGGCTTGTGTGCCGGCTCTTTCACGGCGTGCGACTGGGATCACTGCCGGACAACAGTTTCTCGCCCGGCACAGACATTGCTGTTCGGCCGGTGCTTCGTGGCTCCCAAGCCTCCAGGACCGTAAAAGGACTCGAGGTTGCTGTGCGATCTGCCAGCCTCAGGCTGGATGACTCTTTAGCTTGACCACGACTATTTCGCCAGCTTCACCACTCCTGCGCAGGCTTGTGCGTGTGTCTGAAGGGGTTCCCAGCAGCTCACTTAGCAGTTAAGTTCAGCTGTTGGGAGCTTGCAAGCAACTGGCGAACTCAACACTGCACACTTTTGAGAGCTTTTTGACAATGACAGGTGCAGAGAGCTTGCCGAACTGCAAGTGGTCCCCAACTTGCAGTAACTAGCAGCCAATCTACCAACTGCGCCGAATTCAGGTGTTGCCAGCTTGCAAGCCTTTTCCTAGGCCAGATTTGCTTGGCAACGGCTGCGTGCGCTCAGAAAATCCGCTGGAGACACGAAGGACAAGTCCAGGATGTGCCGCAGCTGCGCATCACGAGGTGAAGACGAAACGATAATTTGAAGTGCTTTGCCGCTGAAATATGCTACATCGCTGCTCGGAGACTGCTCGAAAGCTACATTCTGTACGGCCAGAGGTGTTGGCAACCTTGCTTGATGTGCAGCAGCAAAGGCCGCTTCGGCAAGCTCATTCCAGAATCGTTGGACATCCAGGAGGCGAGGTGCATGCTTCACATCGCACTTGCTGGAGGGCTGCTGCACGAAGATCTGACAGATGTTCAGCGAAGGTGTGAGGAGGTACAAGACGCAGGTCTGGCGGCCACTAGTGGTTCTGCGCAGCTTCGATGCCTGAACCGCCACGCCAATCAAGTCGCACAAGAAGCCCCTGAAGTGGTCAGCTGGTGCCACTTGAGGACTTGCAAAAAGCGGTGGACCTGTGCCGAAGGTTGGATTGACATTACAGATTAGACGGTCAACCACGACAAGCGCAAGAGATCGTTTTCGGCCCAAGCACGGTCGAACACAAGCCAAAAGAGACACAGCAACACTCACAACAACTTACCAATATGCATGTGTGAGCAATGCTTCCGGCCGAGACCTCTGCCGAACGGGGATTGCAGCAACGGGCCAATGGCGGAACATTCCGCGCCACGCTGGTGCTGTAACCGGGCGTTCCTGCGAGATCGTGCCGGAAGCTTGGGCTTGAGCTGCATTTGATTCAACCCTGCTTTTGAAGGAAATGCTTCCGAGACGCCTGTTGCAAAAGATTCGAGAAGGACCAAGTGCTGTGTCGCACGCAGGCTTCCTGAAACAAACTTCTGCCAGCCGCAGCTTGTCTGCACTTTGCGCTCGTGCCAAGCTCTCCTGCCTCAGGCTGCTCATGCGCAGACGGTCCAAGGGCTTGAGCAGGTCCTTGCGTTTCGCTTCACATTGACGTGCATCATGGCCTTTCGCGTCCTCACCTGTCCTGCTCTATGAAATGTGTCCCAGGTATAGCCAGCAAGGCCACGAAGGTCCTGCAATTCAGGGTACATGAGGCTGGGGGAATCCCGCAAGCATCAAGCTCGAAACCCGTCCACCAAGCACGGCCAGGATGTGCGTGAGAAAGTGCTTGTGTGTCTATTACAACGACCTGGAGCTACACAAGTTTGAGCACGTCGACCACACCATGCTGTGAGAGCCTGGAGCTGCAACTTGCCAGGGTCCATCTCGGGGACCTTGCAAAAGCCATGCATCAGTCTAGCTGTCTGCAACTGAGGTTACCATGTCCGTTAAACAAGTGCTGAGCCTGGTTGCTTTCGACGTGCTGTACATGCTCCTCACGGGACAGGATAGCAGGCAGCAAGACACATTCTGTCCGCAGTCGTGTGCAGCCACACAACTTGTACAACTAACAATATGACCAGCGGCCGTCCTCCCAAAGACGCTGTTCTTGCGAGATGCTTCTCTCTTCAAGACAATACGAAGAGCTATCTTCATGCACCTTTCTCCAGTGGCGTACTACCGGCGGTAGGATACCTGAGCTTGCAGCCTGCTCATGCTTAGCCTTTGCAGCCCGTAGTTCTGAGCGCCCCTGCGTAGCACAACCACATCCAAGCTCGGAATCAGCTCCAGTCCTGTTGCTATACAGCGACCATTTCACTAACTCTTTTGCACAAGACTATGGCCTCTGTGAAGCTGGTTGATCTTGGCTGGCGGAAACCATCCCTGCATTGCTTGCAGGCAGAACGTTCAGAGCCATCATACAATCTTTCTGGGCACCCAGCACGCTGGAAACCAAGGTTGCGTTTAGCAGAGGCCGGGCGGCAGCCACATTCTCGCAAATGGAGCCTGTTAACGGATATCTGGTGCCGCTTCATGGTTGAAAGTCGAAAGCTGCTCACTCGGATGGCCTGGTAGTCTCTGGTAGCTGTAATGGGTCACTGCCATCAACTGGGAAGTCCACGGCACTAGCCATGCAAACGTGGAGCAACCTCGCGCTTCAGAAGGAGCGGGTGCACAGACCGATAGATACAGCAAAGAAGCAACCGATTGCTTCTGTGCCGCACCTTCCCGGGCGAAGCTGATGTCGGCGGACCCGATCGTGCAACTCTGCATCCACGCTAGCCTGCGCAATATCGTGTGGAAGTGACATCGGGTGCGAGGAGTAACGCGCACGCCCTTTGGGAGTAACGGAAACCAGTTCTGCACACCGCAACGGAAGCGGGCGCTAGCAGAAACAGAAACTGCACCCCGAGCCTAACAGCAACTATCGCTGGAAAGCCAGGCAGCGGAAACTATGTTGCAACTCTTCTGTAGGGACCAGTTTTCGGTCCCCTACTTTGCGACTATTAACGCCTTATGCTCACGCCTATGTTTTTTGTTCAGGGCATATAGAGTCTAGGGTTCAGTAAGATTCGCGGTTTGGGATATAGGTGCAACAGGATGGCAGTGGCAATACAGAGGGTTTTAACATGTCGAAGAATTGCTGCTGGAGCTCTTTCCCGAATTTCTGGTTGCTAGAGCTGAAAAATGTCGGAAAGTCATGCTGGAATCGTAGGTTTGAATCCCTGTAAGTAAGCGGCCGGAAAGTCCCTGAGCGGGGGAGCAAGACGAAATGCCGGATGTGAAAGTAAGTCTTGCAGCCCTCCCCCCAGTTCCTGGTACGGCCTGCTTGCGGGCTATTGCGGGGTTACGGTGCTGGGCTCCGTTCCTATTATGGGTTCCCGTTGCGGAATCTGCTCAAGTGCCATCATCGGGACACAGGGCGGACCTTGATGAAATACCAGCCGTCGCTCAGCTCGATCCAAGCGTCTTCGTGTGAATAGGCAAGGCGTTGGTGCTTTCCGCTGCCTCCGGGCATCAACATCACGGAGGGCACTAGCAACTTCCAAGAGATACTGGGTACCGAGCCTGAGCCTGCATTTGTCCACTCTGGCATAGTTGCCTCGGCTCACATTAGCTAGATGGCCAACTCCCTTACAGTTACAGGTAACAGCCATGACGTTGCCGACCATGGTGCGGTGCACATCAATACCATGTGCTGATCGGCTGGAGCCAGTCCCGTGCAAATCTGGAAAATTGCAGACCTTCTCCCAGCAATCTCTGCTCGGGCTCGCTTGCCTAGACGCTTGCATATCGACTTGAGGTCTCTCGAAACGGCAGCCATCGATCGTAGTGACAGGAGTGCCAACTGTGCCAAATGATTCCGCAACCACCTGTCCTCATACCTGGATGAGATCTTAATGGACTCTGCACAGCATTCCTCTGCAAAACCCTGGACAATCGAGGGAGGAGCCTTGCCGGCCACCCAATCAATCAAAGAGATATCCGTCGTGACTGGCACATGTTCTTCAGGATCTTCCCTATGAGAAGCCAGCAAATCGTTTGCCAAGAGACGTTTACCAATGCTGCCCATGCCAGAGTGCCCATCAAATCCATCAACCTCACTGAAATGAAGCGCATCTTGTGGCCGACGGGAACGGCAGATAGGGCTTTGAGCCTCGGCCTCTGCCTCTTCTCTGAGGCTTGCAGTGCTTGCAGGCTCCAGCTTCCCGCTGTGTGCATTCTCTCGATCGACTCTTGGGTTCTGGCTGCACAAGGCTTGTGAGGCTGTGGCCTTTCCACCAACTGCTTGCTCACTGCCTTCTGGAGCCGTTTGAGGCGGAGGCTTTGTTATCCCAACAACAGGCAGCTCCAACACAGCCTCGGATGACTGAAACAAACGTTGCACTTTGCTTACGTGTCCTGCATCCACTGAAACCGCTCGTCCGCCAGCTGTCATGAACTTGCCAACTGGTTCGCCCCCTGCTCGACATAGCATGGCAGATGTGTCATGCTGCACATGTGGGTCATCAGCGTCGGAAACCTCTCCAGTATGCCCAGGGTGGTCCCTTCTGTCTGGGCTTGGCTGATGCCGCTGCCAAGGATCACGGCTAGCCGAGTGGTCTCGACTGCGGGGCTCACGTAACTGAAACAAAGCGAGTGATTCATGTAGCTGTCCAGTTGCTGAATTCGCCCGTCCTTCACTTGCCACGAACTTGCCCACGGATTCGCACGATGCAAACACACCATTCTGGTTGTGTTGGCCATGCGTTGTCGAGTCGTTGCTCGCAGGGCCATTGTGGAGGCTGCTCTCGGTGTGTGTCAGACTCGGTGGATTCAAAATCTGGAGCAAATCCTTGCAATCGGGAGTTTGACATCCCTGATCTTCGGCACGAGGCAGCTGCAACACAGGCTGTTGCACGGCCACCTGGTCATCTTGAACGTTGGAGAGAAGATGGATGGCTTCAGCCTCGGATGACTGAAACAAACGTTGCACTTTGCTTACGTGTCCTGCATCCACTGCAACCACTCGTCCGCCAGCTGTCATGAACTTGCCAACTGGTTCGCCCCCTGCTCGACATAGCATGGCAGATGTGTCATGCTGCGTGCTTGGGTCATCAGGGTCGCTAACATCATCGTCAGCGAAACAGATGGTGGGTGGTGCAGTGCCCACCGAACGGTCTCGACCACACGAAACTTTACTGCCCTCAGTTTCGCATGAATCAAACAAAGCCTGGATCTTTTGTAGATGCACGGTGTCCATTGAAACGGCTCGTCCGCCAGCTGTCATGAACTTACCCAGTGGTTCGCTCTCTGCCTGACCTACGATGGCAGGGGCACCGCTGCTGATGCATTGATCATCAATGCTAGAGCCAGTTGGGGCGACTGGCAAAGCATCTGCGCCGACAGCAGAATCTCGGCAAAGGGGTGGAAGACTATGGGCTTGGGTCTCACATGACTCGAAAAATGCTTCGACTTCTTTGAGACGCCGCCAGTCCACTGCAACTGCCCGTCCACCTGCTGTCACGAACTTGCTTTTCCCTGGCTCTTTCGATACTTCCTCATGGCTTTCCATGCGTGCAGAGGCACTATTGCGGCCAGGGTCTCACTCGAGTGCAGCAGAATCTCGTGCCCAAATTGCTGCAGGCGCTCGCGTAGCCGGTAAGTGTGAGAAACATTATGTCATGTATAAAGCCTCAGGTTTCGCATCGGTGAATCATGCGAAGCATTTCCAGCCTCTTCTCGTAGCAGAGCACCTGCAAATGGGTGATGCATGACCGATGCTACCTGTACCGAATTGCTCGCTGCCTGTGCCAAAGCAGCAAGGTATTCCTTCTGACCTCATCACTGCTTGCATGCTCTTGTGTTCAGTGACCAGCGCAAGCGGCAGGACTGGAGAGCTTTTTTGAGGGTCTGTGCCTTTCTGAACTTCCAGGATGGCATTGAGCTCTTTCAGAGTCATCTCACCACCCTTCTCTTGGAGACCTTTCCATGATGAATCTGACAAAGTATGACACTGAAAGACTTGCCATGTCCTGAGTCCAGTGCACTTCACTGCCAGCTGCTGCAATTGTGCACCCTTTTCAGATGTACACCTTGAGGGAGTTGGAATGAGAATGGACATGAACAACTCGTGGAACCAGTCCTGCTGTGTAGAAGGAGCGAGCCTACATGCCTCAGCTCTTGAGGAAGGTACTGCGCTGCTTCTGTCGCAGTCTTCGCTTGGCAGGGCGATGCCTCAATTTGCATCAGCAACAGCTACACAGACGAACGATGTTGAAAGCTTTGCGGCCCTACACAGTTTAGCATGATTTTGTCAGCTCTGCGTGAAAACAGTCACGAAGAGGTCTCGCGGCAGAAGACCTGCGCAGAGCATGGCAAAGCAGAGCGGACATTGCATACATGGGGCCCTGCAAGTTTCGCCCTGCTACGCAGGGTCTAGCGAACTGGCATGCAGCACGGCCTATGGCAACCCTCAGAATCTGAGACCCTGACACTCACTCACGGGTACACTGTCATAATGACGCCCAGTGCCAACAGAAGGAGGCTCGGGGAGTCTTTCAACCTGAGAAAGCCCAGCATGCGGTCTGCACAACATGCATCACCACACCAGCCTTAGTAAGTGAATGGTCTATCACACTGCACATGTGAGGCCCATGCGCAGCACTTTTGGAGTGCCTCCTGGACGACGATCCCTGCGAGTTCTGGTACAGCTGGTGATTCTGGTAGTGCTGATGTTGCCATTGCTGATGCTGCAGCTGCTGGAGCTGCTGTTGCTGCTGCTGCAGCTGCTGCTGCCGAAGTGCTGCTGCTGCATGCATGGTTCTCGCAACTCGTTGGGTCCCGAGGTAGGCCGGGTACAGCTGCTGTGCCTCATGCCTGGGATGCATGACATTTGAGTCACATGCTCGGCGCTGTAATTGCAAACGCTCAACCTTCTTCGCTACGCAGGCTGGATGAGTCAGGGCTCAATGCAGACAGCGATGTTGCCAAAGGCATCCTGATAAGCTGGACGGGCACACCTCCATACCTTTACTGGAGCACTAACATAATGAATCATTAGCGCTTTTGAAGGAAACCCTGCTGTCCCCTCAACGAAGCCATCCACTTCTCGTGCTGAGCTCACGGATTTCACCATGCGCTTGTAGTTGTCCTAATTGTCAGTGACAAGACTTGGGCAAGCACGGCAGCACACGGGTCTCTAGAAACGTCCGAAAATGCCACCAGGGATCTACCATGTAGCGGTGAAGCTCAGCGGATCGATTGTTCAGGCCGTCCGTCCGTGCTTTGAAGAGGGCGGTCCGCTGCTGCAGCATTGATGCTTCACGCTTGAAGCCTCCGATCAATCAAGCGCAAAGCTGGCTCACGATCGTACACACAAAGCCAGGCGTTTGTTTCCCTTTATATACTGAATGCTCCATTTCAGCTCATGCACTCCGCGGTTACTCCATCCTGATGCATCCTAGACCTGTACGACGGAGAGCACGCAGTGGTTTCTCGGACTTAGCTGGATTCTAATCGTTTTGGAGGCCTCGGACGTGCGTGGAGGCCGCACTTTCCATTCGGTAGATCATCTCGGTGTAGTAATCCAGGAGTTTGGTCCACTTGTCCAGCTCCGGCGGTGGCCCTCCGGGAGTCCCAGCGTGGCCCTGGACACCTTTCAGGCCAAGTGCGCCGAGCTTGCCTTTGGACCCGGGACTGCCGGCAATTCCAGGGGCTCCGGCATGGCCAACAACGGATGCCCCAGCTGGGCCTCGTGGCCCGAGGACCCCCGCAGGCCCAGTCACTCCACGTGGCCCGGTTGGTCCTGCACTGCCGTACATGCCTGCAAAGACCAGAGCAGGTCTGCCTGCAGGGCCATGAATCCCCGTGGCATTTCTCCTGTCTACTCCTTCTGTCTCTGGCTCTGATTCTGTGGGCTCTCCAGTTGTTGCCGACAGCTCGTTCACAACATCGGTGGCTGTGTCGACCGCACCATCCTCAACTTCCACTGTGTGCGTCCCATTCACGTCTCGATGAGCCCGGCGACTTTGCTGAACAAAGGCCGCGTCCCCAAAGCCTTGCCACGCATGCCGCCCGTCTGAAGTCACGTGATAGCTCGCGTCTCTGGATGCAGAGCCCACATCTTCCCGACGGAGCATCTGGGGTTGAAGCCCATCCGCGTGCCTCTTGCCCTGATTGTGCTGCACTTGGTGCAGACCTGTCGGACATGTAACTGCAACGGACTTGCTTTGAGCAGTGCTTAAGCACTTACGCATATCTGCAAATCAAAACACGGACGACTTCAAGGCTGTATCTGGATTAGAAAGCCTTCAGCAAGTTAAAACTTTCCAGCTCAAGACGCTTGCATGGCCGGTTGCTTCAAGCTCGGCGGCGTGCGTTGTACATGATGTTGGGCTGAAGAGCAGGAAGAACGCCTTCTCACCGCGCTTGCAAACAAGTCCGACACTTTGCCAACGCTAGACTCCCGAACTGGATTCAAACACAAAGAAGCTCTGCCTGCAGATGCAACGCCACCCCAGTCTTGAGTGACAATACCATCGCCAATCTCCACGTCCTATGAAAAGCACATGTGCCCGTAAGCACATGAGCTGAAGGCCTGAGCCCTGATACACTGCAGGACTTCTGTGTTGGTGCTGCATGACTCGAGCACAAAGCATGTTCAAAAGCCGAAAGCTGGGTGCACTGGCGGGCGCCCGGGGGCTGCAGTCCTGATGGAAGGCTGTTTGAGTTGGGGCTCCAACAAGCCTTTTGCAAGCCACCTCCTCTTCAGGTTCTGCCAAGGCAGGAGAGTCGTGGGCATCCTATGGACAGCGAAGCATCACTAGAAGCAGAACAAACCGGAACGCGCCCGACAAATTCCGAGCCGAGGCGCAGTTGCCATGGGGCCTCCAGGGCCCTTGAGTAGGACCTTCATCGCACCGGGCCATGGTCATATGATGGTCTTACAGTAATTATCCTGCCTCAACTTCCTCGCCGAAAGTGGACCTGTAGTTGTGATACCCTACGTCTCCACGAAACTTCAAGCTTGGTGAGGAGGCGTGCATGAGATTGTGCATGTAGAGGGCATCTTGGACCCCAGGCATCCCCAAACCAAGCCCAACAAAAAGATCGCGGCCATCCACTTTCCATTGGTGCTTTCGACTATGATATTATGGATACCTTCGCCAATAACATTTCTCTGGCCGGAGCGTGAATTATGGAACTGAAATGGTAGGCGTTGGCCAGATGACCACCCCTGAAGCGAAACGTTGCAATTACCTACTCAGCTACAAGGGCTGCTAACGGAGCACAGTGCCTGCACAGCTGTTGAGATGATAGGTGCTCCAATGCTCAACTTAGCTGGTTGGTTCGGTAGACCAATGAGAGCTGTCTCGGTGGAGCACCGGAAACCATTATAAACTGCATGGGGTTAAGGCATCTGCCGTTTTGTGTCGTTCTGGCTCGCTGCGGTCCAAAGAAAACAACAGGGTGGGGCGCAGTGCAGCACTGTTGATACTCAGGGAAGCGCAAGTGTGTGTGGATGGATGTGCAAAGAGTATCTGGAAGAAACAAACACAACGCAACCAGTACCAGCCAAGAATACGGATGTCTCGCAGCTGTATCAAGCCTTGATCGATGCAGTTGTTAATGTCTTGGCACCACATGCACCAGTGCAACAAAGTCCAGCAGCTTCACAGCAAGTTGTTCAACTCGAGACAGATCTTGCTCGTCGAAAAGAACAACTTCCAGCACACAGTGTGGAAGTTTCCGCAGCCAAGCCATCCGCGGCACCACCTTCACAGATGCCGAGTTCCCCGTTGTCCTCTAACGTTCTGCATGTACAAGACCCGAGCATTCCCGCGCCCATCGCCCATCACAAGTTTTACGAAATCACCAAAGAGATCCTCAACAACTCAGCAAAAACAACTCCAAGGACAGTCCTGGCAACCAGGGCAAAATTGGACAAAATCTACGAAGACTCTCGGGGGCATCAAGTTTGCAGAGCATGAGCAGCTTGATCGATCTGTGGCAACCTCGACTTAATCACTCTTTTGTTGATCGTGGTCAAGAAGGCTGCATGGGACAAAGTGGTGTTTTGTCGCAATGCAATGGGACGACCTACACCAATTTTCAGCAGACTGTTCTCTAGACTTCGCAGACGGATGCACACATATCACAGTCAGCCATTACCAAAAGCCAAGCCGTTGAGATCATCTACGATCTTTCTCAACAAAATCTGGCAAGCTTCGAAGCTGCCAAACGCATTAGGTCCCAGAAAGTCAGTGACCTGGAAGTGTATGCCATTTGGCGCACTGTGCAAAGCATTGTTCTGCCGCAAGTTGGCATCTTCCGTCGGGAATGTTGCCATACTGTTGCTTGCTCACGCTACGTTTAGACTTCAGGTTCAGCGATGATTCAGCATTTCAAGCATTGGCTTATTCCCGGACATGTGCAATGAAGCAGAACTGCAAAGGCAGCACACATTTCTATCCGGAAGTTGACATTCAACTTCAAACCTTGGGAATCGAAGCCAATTGACCCGGACCCGAGTACATTGCCTTGTCATTGCAAGAGTTTTCACCAGCATCACAGGCGGGAACAATCAGTGGACACGACATGGCTTACAGTGCAGATTTATTGGATGCGCCGGAACCCATCACGCAGTACTTGCGTTGCAGTTCGTCTTCTACAGCGTGCCCTACATGGAGCATGTTTGACCGCCTGTATCTACTCCAAACACATGAATGGTTTCAGCGACAAGGTTTTCTTGCTGGCGTCTTTGAAGATTTCTGTCACGGCTTGATGCGCCAGCAGTGGGAACAGCATGGGCAAGCTCCAAAATAAGATCAGTCGTTAACACAAGAAGCAAGATCAGACCTGCTTCGAGCATGCTCTACAAACATGTCTTGTGTTTCACCTGACAGACCATCAAGCTACACGCCTTATGCTGTTTTGCCCTCAGTTCCATTCTCCGTCAACGTTTGGAAGACAGCGCCAACTTCTTACAAATCAAAGCATCACCAGAGCGATGCAGGTTCATGCTTCAATTCCAGCTCATGTTCGAAAGAGATGCGCCTGGGGCATCAAAGCCGATGCAAGACTCTCACACGCTTCGCGATCTTGAACGAGAAGAGACAGTTTCGCAAAGGACATGCAGTTCATCCAGAACAAGACGACTGCAACGTGGTACAGCCTCAACCATTGAACATTTGATACAGTCATGCTTTCCAGAACACTTTGGATCCTTGACCTTACAACAATTTTGGCACAAGCTCCATGCGTTTCTTAGTGACGCCCCAGAACATGGCTCTCTCTCTGACCAATGACTACTTGTTTGGATTCTTTAACAGCGTTCCTCAAGATCGGATTGCACTGTGTGTGTACCTTTTGCTTCGAAGGCTTTCGGGTCAGTCACAATCAGAGTGCTTGAATGTCAATATACAACCTGAGACCAGATCTGTCAAGAGCATTTCTGGCAACACAAAGCAGGCCGGAGATCCTCAGTGTTGGAAAGTCATTGACGTTGAAGACACTGTGCATGTCACATTCATTCAGCAGTTGTGGAATATTCCATGCCTGTGGGAGGTGCCGGAAACAGCACGATGGAACATGTAAATGTATGGGGAACCAGATCTCTCCCGCTCTCAGCTCCCTCCGAGTCCTTTGCACTGAAATAGGCTGGCGAAGATTGTTTGCATCTTCCCAAGTTCGTGAGAGATCGTTCAACCGCTGGATCATTGCCTCCAGTCACGGCGCGCAAGACCTACGACTCTGAACTCTTTGCTCTTCATCCTTGTACAGTGCACCTATCGAACTTGAAGATGTGGGAGATAATCACTTACTTGGTTTTCGAGTATGCGTACATGCACGAGAAGTCCATTTCATTCCTTTGCTCCTTTGCAGTTTTTAAGGCCGGTGGGACATCAGAAGTCGGCTGATTCAGAAGTTCGTTTATTCTCGGGTCTCCGGCCGATATCTGGCCCGCTTCCAATTTGGAAGGACAAGTATGCGTTGCCAAACAGTTTTACATTCTTCGGGATTTCCCTCCCATTTGATTCGCCATCTGTAACAAGTTGAAGTCAACTGATGCCTTCTTGAATCACCATGTCCTTGTGCATGTGCTCATGTCAGGTACACGGACCAATCCATGTCAGTTCTGAGATACTTGGCAGTCAACATGTCCGATGTGTGATCAGCTTTGATAGACATCTTTGCGCCTACAGAACCATGGCTTCCCTGGATAATGCTGACAGACAAGATCAACAGCCTCCTATGTCGGAAGTCCGACATCAACAAGCATTACAAGCTCTCCTGGAGATTGTGCAAGACAAGAAGCGTCATCCACACCTACTTCAGAAACTGATGACACAAGCGGTGAACGGTCCGATTGCTTCGGGCCTTTCTTTCAGCCACCAATCGCGACATCTGAGTATTGCAGTTCTGAGCACAGAAATCGCGCTCAACTCAACCCATGATCCCTAGTTCCAGCCGTCACCCGACAAGACTGATCGAACAAAAACGACTTGCCCGCCGTGATATAGCAAGCACAAACAAGTTTCGGCCCGAACACTTTAGGGCCTACATAATCAGCACATGATGTAGTGTAAGTGTAGCTCATGGATTTATAGTCATGTCAGTTACATGTCAGTTGATGCCTTGACACCAAGCAGGGGAGTCGGGGGAGCAGTGACAGACATCCCGAATGCTTCAGACTCTGCCGTGCTCGGATGTTCGGTCTTCCTAATTCCAGACACTTCCCCCTGTGCTGGATCAACCTGTTTCTTCTGTGGTAGCGCCTTTCATGTTTCACCGTGAACCCAAGATCACTCAGCAACCAATGCAGCATGTCATCTATCGTCTTGTCAACAACCGACCGATCAAAGCTCGTGAGTGCAAACACCCCCCCCGTTCTATGAAGAAGACACTCAACAAGAAAAATCGTCAGCCGATCAATCGCGCAAAGCCTCCTTCGTCGTCGTCATCATTCATCTTCGTCTGATGCCGGCTCAACGTCATGACAAGGGTCATCTTCGTCGACTTCAACATCGGCTGCGACCACCTCGTCATCGAGACGACTTACACCATCGTTATCCGGTGCTCTCTCCACTTCGTGTGCGTCAGTACGATAGAAGCCACAAGTTCCTGTTAACGTCGTGATTGACAATAGCCGCCAATAGCCTTCAAAAGGTGGAAGCGAGCAGAGCGACAAAATCAGTAAGATTGGACATCAGCCTTACAGTTTTGCTGCTAGTCTTCGCCACGTGAATTGCGTCACAAAGTCTGTGTTCCGCAGACGAGCAAGGATGCATTTGCAGTTTTTTGGTGCATTACAGACGGGTTTGACAAAACGACCCGATTCGCACAAGTGTGTTGCTTTGCCACAGAAGTTACACCGCAAGTGATGTGGTAATACTTTGAGAACCTGGTGCTTCACGTTAGCCATGACAGTTACATGACGGTTTCGATATCTGAACAGCGTGTTGCTCTTATGTACTGCCGCTCTGACCACCGAAGCATGCGGCTTTAGGTACACAGTAAAACCGATTGTAGGGTCGATTATAGCAGCAAACATTGAGTCCAGTGTGCTTTGAGCAACCGGCTGAGCGAACACATTTAAAGATCGACAGCTTGCAGACAGCTTGCGGTGCATGCCAGTTACATGTCAGCGCTGCTTGTGGACGGTGCGACCCCCTCCATGTAGGGGAGACGGGGAAGCGCTGAGGTTTATAATGCCAAGCCTTGAGATTCAACTGCCTCATGAAAGGTCTTCGAGCTGAGTTGTCTCCCTATTCATATGAAGGGTGTGTGTGTACTATCCCTGTCTCCAAGGGCTAAGTGAACACTTCGAACCGAGCCACAGAAATTGCAGGTGGCGTCCCTCTGATTCCAAACACTGATGCTAAAACTCGTACTGCCAAATCACGAATTTCAACACTAACATCATTACTAATTGGTGCCGTTGCCCAGACTTTTCTCATTATTGAATCATCTTTAGTTTGCACCGGGCCCCACACTAATCAGGGACCCACATTATCACCCACAGCTCCAAATTTTTGCACGACTACCCAATTTTACACTCGATCTGCAACCATGCTTTCAATGCAGATAGCACTGCAGCCGTAAATAATCGATGCACCACACTTCTTAGGTACCTTAAACAGGGGGTCACACCAAGTTCGATTCGCAGCAGGTTCACTCTTCATCTACAACCCCCCGTGGGCAACGAAGTTACGGTTGTGAATGGCCTCCAGTCTGAACAGCGGGATGTACCTGCAAAAAACGATGGCCCCCTGTGGCATCCAGATTAGCAGTTCTCAAGCCAGCACGGAAGCAGCAATCTGTTGGTGGCAACAGCAATCCAAGTGACAGGCTCATGGTCAGTCATCGCAGCATCAGCATCAGACTGTGTCTATATGCATCTGGACGCATGCGCTTGCATCTATGTGCCGTGTACCATGAAGCATGTGCATGCACACACAACGGACAATACCACTGCAACACATCAGTGTCCACCATCCTCACAGTCGTCGTTTTATTTGTATGTCAAGTCACGGGTTTCACAACCTTATCTGCACCACACCATTTTGTCTGCTGAGTTGTCCGTTCCCTTTGTAAGTCTGGACGACATGGCTGGTAAAAAATACGGGCTCCTGCTGCACCACCCTGCTGGAAGGACACATGCAAAGCTAATGTGCCTGTATGTGCCTGTGCTAAACGCTCTGGCCGCCAAGAGTCGATCACATAGCGGGGGAGATTCGCGCGGCTGGGACTGCGAACAAGCAGCGATGTAAGCCGCGAGCAATTGCACGTCTTGGGTTTCTCCGTCTTCAGCAGCCACTTCTTCTCCAGCTGGCATGCCTTGATCCTGCAGGCTGCAACAGGTGTGGTAGCTCTTTGTGCAGCACCAGGGCTGTCCTCAGTTTGAGCGGCTGTCCCCTCCAGCTGATCATCGAAGTCGAATCTTTCCTTCTGCTGCTGTTTTTCAGCGAGATTGCCGGAAAACGGAGGTGGTAGGCCTCCTGATCATCTGAGAATTGCTCCTCGTCAGAGAAATCCCAGCCAGCCTGAGAATCCGTTTGCAATCGAACCGGTACTAAGCTGTGTGCACACAGTACCCTGTGTTACTTGACCTAGCCTCGCCCCCCTTCTGCCGCTTGAGCTCATGCAAGCTGCTTGCCACGTCTGGTACTGCCTGGCTCGGCTCTGCTCGTGTGCTACTTGCAGGTCTCAGGGTCCTATAGGCACCAGGGCCAGCTGCCTCCTCTTCGGCACCTTCGCGATGCGCCATCTCCTGCTTTCGGAGAACCTGACTCAGTGCTTAGATCTCTGTGCAAGTGGCCTCGAATCGACGCACGTGCGCAGGCCTTGCGCCGCTTCTCTTCTTGCTTCTTGATGCCAGTCTCATCACTCTGCTGCTTGTCCGGGTAGGCAACCGCGCTGGTTGAAACTTTCGGCTTACGAGCAGCCAGAAAAGGCCCAGCCTCCTCCTGCAGCAAAGTGCGGCATTTGCGGGAAATCGGGTTTGCGTGCCAGAAGTGACCTCCTTCCCTCGCTTCCGCATTTTATCCCATCGGTCAGAAATCTCCTGGGTCGGTGCCGTGTTCGTTGATACCATGTGCGCTGAGCTTTAACGCCAAGCAGCCTTCCGTTCACAAACTTGCTTCTGAATTTCCATGTTGGCCTTGGCGCTTCACCAGCTGGACCAACGCAATAGCACGATACGGTACTGAAGCTTGGACGGCTTCAGGTGGCCTTGATCATCAAGGAATGGTCCAACTCTGCATGCCCGAGCGAACAACGAGCCTCTTTGCAGGAACGAGCTGCTTGCCCGCACCTTGGACACCCAAGGAGACCACGGACTATGTTCGGAAAGCAGGGTGCCGCGACTTCGCGAGATCTGGCACCGAGGTCCCGGCCGGCAGAATTTGTTTGCACAAGATCATACCAGCCTTTCACGGGCCTGGCAGGCCAGTCCCCATGAAACTCGTCTCGGAAAGGAGCTGGGTCGCGCCTGATTTCCATGCCGCCAGGCACGGGCTCCATGACCTGACCGTCGGAGCAAAGCAAGCTGCAAGCGTGAAAGGTAAGCCTCTCGCCCAGTGGAGGTCTGTCTTCACATCCATCTGCCTCAGCGCCAGAGAAGTCTGTGCTCCCTCTCTGTTTCCAGAGCCGGGCCTTCCGGATCTTGAGATGCCGTGTGCGCCCCATGCTGTGCACATCCCATCGCCTCAAGAAAGGCAACCTCAAAGCGCCTGTAGAACGACCAACGAGCCGGGAGCCCGACTGCATAAGACTTTGTGCAGCACCAGCCGGTCGGACTTTTGCTCCTCTACAGGTACTTATTACATGCAGTTCCTATCCTTTGCCGAAGCATAGAAGCGTTATGACTGCTGCAAAAGGTCCGGCAAGGCTGATGGAACGGCCCGTGCGATGTAGAGCTCCTCTTTCCGTGCGGGGGCTCTCCACACCTGGCTTCCAACATGACGAGTCTCAGGCTTTTCTTTCCGAGCATGTGAGAACTCTGTCAGGCCTGGGGCATCACATCATGTCGGACTCAATTTGATCCAGGCAACATTGATGCTTGCATTGAGTGTATTACAAGGAAACCCTGGCTCCGAGGATATGTTCTCATGCACGCTGCTGTAGTTGGAGACTATAGCCCGGATTCTTGAAAACTCTTCTCACTGTGCTCAGAGCTGGGCAAACGGCAGGCAGATCAGAGAGCAGGGCACAAAAGCTCAATGCGATCACACTGCTTTGCGCGATGGTGCCGTCTTCGTGCTGGCGTCCTTTTGACCGGCCATGACAACTTGCCTAGGGCAATGCTGGCCAGTCCCAATTTCGGCAGCGGCTACACCCAGCTTTCGTATCATTGCGAAGCAGCAAGCGGCGAATCGTCTTCTGCAAGACCCATAGATGCCATAGATGCCATCTCTTCTGCTTCCTTCTCTCGCATCTCGAGCTCCCTTTCACGCATCTCCAGCTCCTTCTCTCGAATTTGGAACATATCCAAGATCTTCTGCTTCTTCTGCTGAAGTCCCATCTTGTCCTTCGTGGTCACACACTGCAGACCTTTGAATTCAAGTGCGGTATAGTGCGGTACTTGCACGAGGCCCTGGCAGTATCATAGATGGTGGCATGTGCAGCCGCTGTCTTTCCTTCTTTGTCAACTGCCTTTCCAATCCGTGGGCATGCTCGCTAGAATGGGGAAGCTTGGTCGATTCACGATAAGCGCATACTGTGGCTTCCACGCGAATGTTTGCATTGAACTCCACGAGTTTTTGTGCGACCAGAACCTGCCACGCTTTTGTGAGAAGCAGGGGCGAAATGTGAAATCGCTGCCTTTAGCGTTTAGTGTCTTCGTTCGTAGCGGCGCGTGACAAGCTGCACATGCAATGGCACCTGGCCAACAACGGAGGCGTGCATCAGTGGAGTCATTCCTTTCCTGTCCTGGCGGAGCGGTGAGATCACAACAGTGTCTTCTAAGTCCTTGCTCGCCCACTTCCTTTCCGTGTGAAGAGCTTAGGGTTCTGGAGCACGACATATACGAGTAGGACGGGGCAGTCGGGGCAGACGGACAGGGTCCGGTGCTCAGCTTCAAAGCGGGCGTGCGACTCGGGCATCTCGGGCAGAGTTGGGACAAATGTCCCATCCTATCCCATCCTACACATCCCATCCCATCCTACACATGCTACAGACTAGCTTCCCAGAAGGCCTGCAAACGCATCTGTACCTGGTTTCAAGTTGAAGCCCAACTCGCCCAAAACTGCTTCCCGGAGCTGGAAAGCACTGGAAGCATGCCGAAATGCGCTTTTTCAGGGCATGAGAAAACCTCTCGGCCTGGACGAGTTTGACGTCTCAACCAGTCCCCGAAAAGGCACCACACCCATCAGTTTCTTTCAGGGGCAAAACCGGCTCCGGGGAGTGGTTGCGAACTTTCTTTGCAACGCTTGCTTGCATGATCTTGCAAGCAGGCCTTTGCACGCTCGTGGAACCATTCTGCTGCGGGGAGATTCAACAAGAATTACAAGGACTTGTTCGAAGCAGTATACCGTAGACCCACTTACATCAAGGGGTCTGTGGTGATTAGGTGGTATCGTTGAGCCCAGCGGTCAGGGAGGTCGATGTGCGCTTGTCGCTCCAGCAGCTCCTGTTTCACCAGAAAGGAATGTGAAGCATCAGGCAATTGGATGTCTAAAGCGCGGTCATGGATGTGGCGCGGTCTGAAACCTGCCTCCACAATGTGAAGCTGCCCTTTTTCGGCTGCCCAGCTCAAAGGAGTCCGACCGGTGACATCACGCACCTTCCAAATGACTCTTCACGAGCCTCACCTACTCACGTCAGCTGCCCACCTCCATGTCGGCACCGTTCTCGAGAAGTATGGAAGCCACCTGCAGGTCCAGGAGTTTTTTCCAACGCAAAGCAATCACATTGCCGGAGAGCACCTCCAGCCAACCTCTTTGTGCAGCCAATGTCAAGGCGGTAACCTGGTCGCAAGTCAGATCATGTCTGCCCTTTGGTTGGTAGAGCTCCAAGATCTCTGAGACACAGACTTCAGTGTCTATCTGCAGTTGATTCACCTCTGCCCCCCAGTCAAGCAATTTCTGGACCACCTGGCGCAGACTTCGAATGTTGGAACTTGCAGCCTGTGCAACTTATGCATGCCACTGCACCCGAAGCATCACAACAGCACATATGAGAGGTTGCCGTACTACTCACCTCTCCATGGCCATTCTGAGCGGCTCCCAGAAGCGCCGTTCCCCTGGGAGCATCATCTTCCTTGACATTGCAAGTGATCAGGTCCTGACCAAATGCGAAGCGTATTATAGCGTATTATGTCATCACCGATCGAACATCTGCACTCCTCTTCTTCCCAAGGGCCATCATCTACCTGGCGAGAGTTGAGTCTAGAGGACATTTCTTGCCTGACACCCGACGGACACGGCAGTAAGCTCCTGTGTCAGCAAGTGCTGGCCGGTGGCCAGCAGCAAGGCGGCAACGGCCTCCGTGCTGCCCTGGGTCATTCCACGGTGGGAACACTCGCAGCCGCAGCCGCAGCCACTAGCACCAAAGGCTACAAGTATTCGGCCAAGCAGCCTCTCTTGCTGCGTAGATGAAAGCTAGCTTCTGCAAGGCAGCCGGGCTCGGTATCGCTGCTTCCACGAGGTCGCCCCCGCGCATCCTGGGAAAACCGACGGCATCTCTTGCAAAGTGGTGGCCGTGTCATGTCTTGAGCCGGCGACTCCAACAAAGCAGCGGCCGTGGCTTTCTTTCCCATCTTCTGGACCTCATGTTCCCAGCCGAGTCGCAATCTAGCGCTGCTGGCACCCGAAAGGCCTCTGGTAACTTCTCTGCGAAGACGTCGCTGAAGGCCTAGACAACAACCAATGTCACCCAAGTCAAGGAATCTGCCGAGGGACCTGGTGGCGATGATGGACCTTGTAGTTGCGCTGCTCTGGGTCCCGATCTGGCACCTGGAGAACTTCACCGAAACGATGCCCCGGAGGATGGAGGGCGGCCCTCCCCGGGCTGCACACCGGCCACAGCACGCAATAAGGCTGCGCCTCCGGCCGCTTCCTGGGATTCAAAGTCCAGCAGGAAGGACGAAGCACCCCCTTCAACCCCACTCGCGGGGCGCCTGAGTTGCATTGCTGCTCCAACGTCCAGCAGGAACTTGAGCAAAGCCTGAAGACACATCCAAACCGTACAGCCGTACAGTGAAACACGCACAAAGGACCTAAAGCTATTTGCAAAGCTTCATCAAAGCCCGAGCCCAAAAGAGAGATCTGAGGGTTCAGCTTGATCAAGCGGGATTGCCATCTCTTTGCCTGAGCCGCGCTCGGTCATCGACTTTCACTTTGGTCTGTCTCATCATAAGGCATCCTTCAGCCACAGCTGAGGTGCTGTGAATGTCCCATTCTAGATGTGAGACATCGATCTCCCCCTGCTCGCCCAGTATGCCACGCACTGTCACCTAAGCATCAGGGACAGAAGAGGCAAAGCCAAGTCCAAAAAGCTGCAAACCAAATGACCTCGACGTTGCTTTCCACCAGCTTTCGGAGAGATGCGATTGGTGCCTGCCCAGAACACAGCTGGGGTCGGCAGCCGTCGTCCCTCAGTGACCCTCAGCTCACCAATTAAAAAGGCAACCTTCATCGAATGCTCCAGTATACCACGAGTCACATTTGCCGCTCTGCATGTGCCCTGAGAGTCAGCAATCCGTGTTCTGCCAAGGGCTTATTCCATCTTATTCCAAATGCACTCTGTCTCAGGCTCAGAATGACGCTGCGGTCCCACTCCCAACTTGCCTTGCCCAGATGAACATTCTTCATGAGCCTTTTGAGGTGATTCTTCCTGACCAGCAAAAGCATGAGTAGTTTGACACTGGACAGCTGTCCCGCGGTCTGCAAGCCTTTCTTGCAGTGCAAGGTCTCCGCGAACCTGCAAAGCAAAAGATGGCAAAGCCCCCGCAGAAGCTCCGAGCTTTGTCCTTGTTCTCTCGCCTTGTGAACCTGATCCAAGTCCAACATCTCGCAGGCTTCCTGACACACTTCGGCGACCTGGCTTCACTGCCGTGCTCTGAGTCTGCGATAGTCTACGCACGTCTACGCTGCCTTCGTCCCCATCAGCAAGCAAGAAACGGTGCTCAGCTTTGATCGATCACAGTTGGTCACGAGGTTGTCCATGAATCTGCAAGGCCAACGCAGTGGCATTCTGAAATTATGTGTTCATACGTTCCCGAAGGTGTCGGGGTTATAGGGTGTTATAGGATTGGTCTGCGTTCACCAATTGCCTTTGCCGCAAGTGAAAAGACCGAATCTATGAACACCTTCGTCCACATCCCCGATAAGGGAAATTGTGCTTCATCTTGCTCTTCGCAAGCTGGACGGTGCTTTTGACGGTGCCGGTGCAATGCTGTTCACGGAAAGCGATATGTAGGGTGTAAAAACAGACCATGTAAACTTTGTGGACAAGTGATCCAGCACTGTGCAACTGCAGGACTGCAGGTTGCAGCCAGCCTTTTCACTCCGGTGTCCGTCACGGTACGACATCCTTGCAGGTCGAGGAGAATGTCCTGCTCCAGTCCGACGTCGAAGCGAGTACAGTCTGACATGCCACTCACCCCCGAAGCACCCTACCGCTCACCTGCACTTCTGGTGACAGGAAGTTTGCCACTTCTGCCAGGCAGCTGTTTTTGATGCCTGGGCGTGCCGCGGCTTAAACTCATGCATCGGCACCCTTTCACCATCCCGAGCCATGCACAACTTCCTTTCAAATCTAACGTTATCCGCTGCAGCCTTGCAAAGTGCAGGCCACACGTGCTGCCATAATCACATAATGTGATATGCCATGAGTGTTGAATGGTGTTGGGTGAGGATCCTTGGAGACAAGTTTTTGACGAGGAGGAGGAGCTCCTGTCAAGATTGCTCGCAGGTGTCGGCACTGGCCGAGACGCGTGGCGGAGACGGCTCCTCGTCCACGGACGTGAGAGCACCTCTGAAGACCGACAGTATCAAATACTCAAATTTCAGCGCGGCCGGTGCACCGGCCTCCACCGAGGCTGACGTCGACTTCAACATTGTCAACATCTTTTGCCAATGCACTTGCCACGAGCTCCTTGACCGCCGAAACCATCTCAGAACTTACGCTGCAAAGCTTCTCCAAGCCAGGCATGCCGAACAAAGTCCTTCAAGCAGGCCAGGTCCTCACGTCCCTCATCCTGACAACTTGACTGGGAAGGAGCGGTCTGGGCAGTGTCCAGCAGCTAGCCGCTAGCCTTCTCTTCGAATACTTTTCGCAGGAAGAGGAGCGCAAACAAGCCGTTCAGCCTTGCCGTCACATTTGGGGCCCGAGCAGGAGTCTTGCAGGCCTGGCATGGCCTGGCCTGGTGTTCACCTTCTCCATTTCCACGCCTGGCCCGACGACCTGGCCGACATCCCACGGGTCCGACGGCCACGGCACTAGGCAGTTTTTGGTCGAGCGGCTTTGGCCATTTTCTTCAGCAAGTGGTTGCGGTCCTTGCCGACCGGCGAATGTTTCGCTCTTGAAAACTCGTAGCCCTAAAGCTCAGAACCTCCTCTGCTGAAGTCTGCGCTTCTTGAAACTGATGTCGAAGGTAGGTTTCGACCACCGAGAGTGGGAAGCCCTGACGGTACAACGGATAAGGGCACAGACCACTTGGCTAGGATCTGCCTTTTCTCGTGCAGCTTTGGCTGCAAGCCCGCTGCCCGGCAGTCGTCCTTCCATAGCCTGTCTCAGCATTCCTTCCAACCGCCCTAGTGCCACGCCCGGAGCACCGCCTCCTCGTCATCAATGAGACCGTAAGTAAGAAGCTCTGCCTGCTCTGCCAGGTGAGGGCGAGCAGGACAAAAAGTTGTTCTTGTCCACACAATGAGCCTTGCCCTCGGCCATGACCTACGCAAAAAACTCTTCACAACGCTCCCGAGAGCACGCTCTGAGTTCCCAACAGCAACGTCCATTGGCGTCCTCGACCATCCATGCTGCGCAGCTGTGTTGAGGCATTGCAGAACCTCTCATCAATTTTTTGCTACATGGGACTGCAGGAAAAGATGGAACCCACCTCAAACATGCACCAAAGCCGTTGCTTCGCCGCATGCTCAACTGTCCCTTCTCCTGTGACATCCTGCAGCGATTTCGCGAAGTTCTGGTTTTGCACTTCGGCATTTGCTGGTTTCGGCAAATGCGCTGGTTCAGCTACAATTTGCACCAGTTGCGGCGTTGCCTTGCCTGTCTGTTAAGAAAAGAATGTCGCCATTGCGCAGTGTCCTGCAGAACGAGCAGCAGCTTGCTCTCCGCTGTGTCCAGCGCAGCACAAACCGCCGACCTGAGCGAGGAGCTTGACAGCTTCTGGCAGCTTGCAGTATTGAGAATTCTCGGAATCGGAGGTCCTGGCTCCGGAGGCTCCAAGTCCACGCAGTGATGCCTGAGTTTTGAAACGGTAGGCACATCTTCAAACAACGATGACAGGATATGACAGGCTTATGCCTGTGCGCATACGCCCAAATCCAGAAGGTGGTGCAGCGACGCAGGCCCCTGCAGGCATGCAGACGTCAGGGTGTTGCAGGACATCTTCCTCAAACAACATTTTTGGCACAGCCTGGTTTGCGCGTGCTGCCCGATGCAGTCCACGAAAGAAGCATGCCTGCAATCACACTTGCTGTGCGATCCCGGCACTGGCGCACTCTGTTGCAAAACCATGTGCCAAGACACGGCTGAGACCAGCAGTGGCTGACGCACCAAACAGCCGGCTGGGCCTGGAAATAGATGTCATGTCACATCAGAAATAGAGCCGACTGGTGCGGCGCAGAACGGAACCAACGGCACAGTCATGAACCGCAACAACGGCGAAACGTGCAAAACTCATTGAAACAGAAGGGAGGTTACTGGAGTCGCGTTAGCAGAAAAGGAACGGAGTTTCGATTTCGAACCCAAAGCGCCTATCGCGGTAAGAAACGCTTCAGAACTTCTGTGCATTGCTGTGCTAACACAGGCAACTGTGCCGAAACCAACGACATTTGGTTCCTACTCACGGTGAGTCCAACTCGGTTGCCTGTAAAAGGGACTACAATCATTAACGATGTTAGACTGAATTGCCTCATTGAGCAAGTGAAGTTTCATCGACTTCGTTCGGCAGTCACCCAACTGCAAGGGAGTTGGGATCCACCTCAAGACGTCCCCACACAGATGGAATACCGCACGACTTGGCGTATCATCCTCCCAAAGTACCCGTCGCAATCCAGCCATCTCTACGGCAAGCTTTTTGTCCGCTACTTGTTTGGGTATCTGCGAAAGAAGGTGATCGGTCAATGAACGGCTGTCACTATACTGGGCGTGTAGCATACTGTCGTGCGAATTATTCCCACTGTGCTGCCCAAGAATGGCTAATAGATCCACGTGTTGAATTGCGTGTAGCAGGGAATATGCCCCACACTGCAGTGTGGCCCTATACACCCTCTCCATAGTAGACGAGCTGTATGCAATCAGCTGCATGTCGCGGTGAGTGTTCTTGGGGTCTAATTTCAGGCTTCTGTGAGGTGGCTCCTTCGCCAACCCCAGTAGAATTGGACACATCAATCGTTCGCCAACTTGACTTTTGAGTTGTTGTTCTGCTGGCGCCTGGCACCTATGCAAACGTTTATGTTGTTGGTCTACATGTTGCTGTTTGTTCCTTATCTTTGCCCCTGTTGTTGTGCTGCTTGCACTTGGAGCTCCCTTTCCTTCTGGCTTTTCGCCCCACTAAATCTTACTTAATACATCTTACTAAATCTGATTACATCTCATTTTATTAAATCTTATTGGTTTATGTAAACCCTCAAGGGAACTTAAACCCCGCAGAAGTGGACCCCGGATTTAGGCCAAAAATCTTGGTTTCGGCAGGTGGGCCTTGCATACCCCATGCTCCTTGATACTTCAGGCCGTGATCCACCTGTTTCTCTAGCAAGTTGAAACAGAAGGCAGGTTACTGGAGTCACGTCAGTGGAAAAGTAGCGGATGTTTTGGAGCCCAAGACACCCATCGGTAAAAAACGTCTTAGAGCTACCAAACATCGCTGTGCTAAGACAGGCAACTATACAGAAGCAAATGACATCTGGATCCGACTCATGGCGAGTACACTTCGGTTGCCTCTACATGGGACTGAACGTCAGGTATGTTTCACAACTCGGTATGCGCCCGGACAATCTGGGTAGTCAAGAAGCAGGAGAGAAAAAACTACGAGTCTACATGTCCATTGTCGTCCAACCTGATCTGCCATCAGCTCCACAAAGGAGCTTCTGTATGCCTGTCATCGGGGTAAGCAGATTCGGTTTGGTAGCTTTCCCTTGTGTGCTTGTGCGCATTTGTGCGCCTCTGTCGCAGGCCAGATCAACCAAGAGTCGACATGGTGCAAGTTGAGTACCTTGAGTCGTGGGGCCAGTGATCCTCTGAGTCTGGGACCGGCTCGGAACCTCCATGGTCAGCCCATTGCTCCGTGGAGAGGGCTGGTCCTGCAGGTTTCTGAGGCTCTGCCAAGTGAGAAACCGCTTTTGGGGGATTCTTCCTCGTCCACGATGTCGCGCCAATGATGACAGGACTCATGACAATACCTTGTCGGGCGAGAACTGTTGTTCTGGCTTCGGTCTGCACCGCATGCACATGTCTCTCAAAATCCTGCATTGCACTGAAGGTGCTTAAGGACCTTCCGCAGCTGGGCAAGTGTCATGGACCTCCATGTGGAACCAGGAGCGGCACGAAAGGCCCTTTAGCTCATCACCCTGTGCACGCGCAAGCTGCCTGTCTTGCACCTTCTCGATGTATCCCCTGAATCGGAACCTGCACTGTGAAGTGCTGTCACAGGCACGTGCACAGGGGCAGACTCTGATAGACGACGTATTCCCGACCCAACTTGCATGCACATGCCAAGACTGCAGACGAGTCTCTTTTTTGACAGGTTTTGGATGTGACCGGTGTCATACTCCTGAAAGGTCAGCCAGTTTCGTGGTACGAGGAAGTGCATAGCAAGGAAGTATCTCACACCTCGCGCTTTCTTTCGCCCAGGGCCTGAAGGCCGGACAAACACCAACAGTTTCAATTGGCTGTCGTTGCAACTGTCGCCGGCCAAGCCTCCTTGATTCTCCGTGCGGCCCCAGGCAAATTTAGGTTATCTTCACACAGGCTGGCCACCGCCAAAGCCCGCAGCTTGTCAGAGCCTCCGTGAACTGGACACACAAGAACAAGACATTCCCCAGGAGTCAAAGGCGCCCCAAGGACTCTGCGGACAACTCGGGGAAGCTGGCGTGCCTGAGAAAGACGAGAGCAATGACTTTCAAACGGAACCGAGCTCGAGCGAAAGTGGGTTTTGCGGGAATGAGCCATGCATGGGTTGGAGTCCAGCCTGCAGGGTAAAGATTCTTTGTAGCTGATATGCCAAGAGTGCAGCGACTTTCAGCCCAAGAAGCCCCTATAGGATGGCGAAAGAATCCAGGGGCCATGCGTCTGTGACGGCCCTCTGGAGCTCATTTCGGGCTTTCAGCATCATGTCCTGCGGGGTGTATGTTCTTCTCCGTTTGAGAGCTTAAAACAACAAGACTGTGCTTCACACCTCTTTCAGGCGATGGCCAGATTCACAGAGCAAAGCTCCGAGCTCGTATATGACCTCATGAGGGCAAACAGGGCGATTCGGTGATGACCCGAGCTTCTGGGCCGAATGAAACTTTCGTCAAGATGCCCGGAGCTTGCCTTTGTCGGTGAAGGACTCCCAATTGGAATTCTGCAGAGCAAAATCCCGCAGCGTCCAAAGCCTACCTGGGCGCAGATGTTCCAAAGGTTTGCTCAGCATGCGGAGCAATCGAAGCCAGGTCACAGTCAGCGCTGAGTTCAGGCCAGTGGCTGCGCTTCACCTGCTCAGCAGGATCACAGGACTCGGATGCTTGCGAGTCCCACGGTGCCTGGAGGTACATGTACTCCTCTGCCTTCACCACGCGCTCTGAGCTGGGCTGTTCACTGCCTTGTGGGGAGGTTTGATGACGGCTATGCGCACAGAAGGACTTGAAGGGATCTGGCTGCTGTGCAAGCGTGGCAACGACCGTAGCGAAGGGGCAGACAACGACTCCGTCAGCTTGGCTGGCCTATGCAGCTGGGTTCTGGGACTTGCAGAACTCACGGGAAATCGCGTCTGTGCGTGCAGTGACACTGGGATCGCGGCATTGTCCTGCTCTTCGGATCCATTGGTGAAGCCAGGTGGCATGCAGGATGCTGCAGCCGCAGTTACTGGACTCTAGACTATAGTGTAATTAAAACTCTAACCTGGAACATGCTTGGCCAGCTGGTCGACAATCCGTTTCAAATGATGCTTTCTGGACACAGAGCGGGTTGAAGACATTCTTTTTCACGTCGTTTAATAACGTCCGTTCAGGATCCCGTCTTTGACGGGATCTGAATGGAAGGCAATGTCGCAACAGACTTGGTCCAAAAGAATGCAGTTCCATGTTCAAGCGTTTCGCATTTAATGGACGTTAGTCTGTGCAGTGTATGGTGGTATCGATTTCGAAACGTCGCACAGCCACAAATCGCCTTTTTGCAGAGTCTCGGCTCATGCCGTGCATGCGCAACATGCTAAGGTCCTGTCGGACAAAGGCAACATTCGCAAAGTCTTCAAGCCTGCAGTAGCTCGAACTACGACATTCAAACAAAGGACCCTATCGTAGTCGTAGCCAAGAAAGCAAGCAAGCAGGCGAGACTTGATCAAAGTGCTCGTCGCAAGTGGCAGCGCCACTTTGGATATATCCTTTCGGCAATCGCGCGCTAGCCTCTGCTGTCCTGAACTCAGGCCCAGTCATTAGCAGGGGTTGCCGCAGCGATTTTACATCTGCCGGCTGGTAGCTGGTTCATGTCGATGCTGGTCCTAGCTGGCTTTCAGCCCGCGCAAAGCTCTTGGCAAGGAAAATGTGACCAGTCCAACGATCCCCAAAGCTAGCACCAGGCTCATGTGGGCCGTGTAGCTCCTGGTTCTCGGGGCATTGTGAGGCTCCACACTGTCCTGTTTCGGAAGGCCTCCAAGCTGCAAGCTTCGTTGGCTTCGCCAAGTCTGTCTGCGTCTTGCCGGTCCCACTGGCTTCCTGCACTCGGCCGACACTTCTCAGGCTTTGGAGTCGTGCTGTGCAGAAGTTCAAGATCCAAAGTATCCAAAGTATATCCACAAATCGAATTCTCATCCAGTTGACTTCCTCTATTTTCCGTCAAATGGCCTGTCTGCGAAGTTTTGCTAGCCCAGCAACTCGGCTCTTGAATGCTGGCTTTCAATACCAACAGCACAAAACACGAAAGCAAACACACTCTTGGGTCTCTTTCTCTTTGCATCTGTGGTGGCTTCCAAAGGAAGTGGGATCCGAACGTCACCAGCCAAAGAGCCACAAGACCTAACGCCCAGCCGGATGACAAAGGGGCATCCAACAGATCGGAGGGACATAACAAAGCCCAAAAAGTCATCAGCAGGATCGCAGATACAACCGCCAGGCCAGCATCGAGATGCGTTGAGACCGGCTGGCTATCGGGCAGCGGCATTCATTAAGAGCTGTGCGCAGTCGGGTCCTCGAAGGCAGCAGTCGCAGCATCTGGCACCAGAACGGCAGCGTAACGACAGGCAAAACAGCTGGGATTTACAGGGCAGAGGCAGCAGACCAAATTTCCAGGGACACAGTGGCAATAGTCGCATGCAGCGCGAAACCTGTAGAGCTCTGTAGGCAAGGGGCAAAAAACTGGCAAAACCTTCTGCACCTAGGCACGGAAGTCTCGAGTCAGTGACGGAAAGCAAGACCCAGGGATCTGGGATGATCTGGTGAACAGCGCACACCACAGATCCCCACAGACTGTTGCACCACTAGCCTCGACCGGCCCAAGGAGTGCAGCATTCAGGGTGGGAGGAACCAATCCAGCTTCAACTTAGAAGCAACATCGTCACGAGAGTGCACACGGACGACAGCCCTGCAACTCCGCACTCCGTAAACGAAGTGCCAGATCGGGAGGAAGCTTCCTCCAGGGTATCGGCAGCTTGCAGCGCCATGTCAAGCCGAAGATTGGGCATCGGATGGAGCCAACTCGAGATCTGTGCATGCAGAACAGCGAGCCCAACTCGGCGGAACATCCTGTCTCGTGGTTTGAACGTGGAAGTTGACGTGCCAGATGCCAATTCGGAGCCATCTGGCCAATGCCCAAGGCAACAAAATATGTTGAGGCGGCGGCAGGCACCCCCCCGAGAAACACAGATAAATCTGTGTGTCGAGGCGGTCAAACGGACGAAAAGAAAGACCCATCAAGCAGTTCAGCACCAGACTCGGAGCTTCCAAGTTCTTGAGTTTAGGGTTTCTGACCCCAAAGTGTCAGGGTTCATGAATTATTATGTTGCTTTGTTTCAAGGTTTTAGGGCTCAGGGCTGCAGGATTTAGAGACTGACCAGGCAGGGCGAAAGTGCTCGGTAGTTCAATACCAAAGGAAGAATAAGAGACCAACGAGGCCAACAACAATGAGCCTCATCAGCATCAGCATCACCACCACCCTCATCCTCACCATCATCATGCCATCATCATGACATGATTAGAGAATGCATACCATGACAACACGGCTGTCTGACCAAACAATAAATCGACTTGGCAGAAGAAGTCAACTCGTCGATACTAGCCCCCGAGAACCGCCCCGCCCATCAACCGTCCCCCCCGAGTCTACACAGAAAGCCGCAAAATGTGGCTAAATGCTGGACGAGCTTTCATGCTCTACATGTAGCAAAAACCAGATCGCCGCTGCATGCTACCGTAGTTGTCGGACTCGATGTGTGAACGGCAGCAGGATGACTTGCCCTTATGATGACGACATATCGCTATGGGACTCAAAGAACGGCCCTCCACCTGCAGAGCCATGTGACACTGGGTCCTGGGAAGGTGTAGTCATTTCAGCAGCTTTCGGCGCCTGCATTGCAAGTGCCCTGCCCCACCTCAACCTTGGCGCCGCTATTGTTCGCACGAAGTTTGGAGCTCAGTGCCTTGACGTTGCACTGACCAGTTTCCCAACCGGGGCAGCGGTCCGCCAACGGAACATGTTGCAGTGCGGCGTCGATGTGGAGTCCTCAGCCTGCCAGCTCCGTGCTGGTCCATGCTGCCACTAGCCTCTACTCTAACTCCTAATTCCAGAGTCCGAGGAGTTGGCCAACCCATGTGGTCTTTCCACAGGTTTTGCAGGGGCTGGAGCGGCCTGAGTGACAGCGGACAGGCTGGTAGCCATCTGATTTGCCACTCTCGGCCAAGCGGCACATGATCCAAGACCTCGCACGCGTGGATAGCCGAACTAGTCCCAAACTGCTGCGAGCCTGTTTACAGTTCGACTCAGTGTCGCACAGAGACAAAGAAACGGATGGACAACACTTTTTGTTACGCGCAACCGGAGAACACAGGTGTCCCTTTTCTGCCTGAGTGACGCTTGGAACTCTTGTGTTGGTAGAAACGAGACGAAATCCTGTCACTGTGCTCTAAAGGTTGGAGCAAAGCAGCACGCCGCAGTTCGACCAATTGCCGAGTTAGCGTGCTTGCTCTCACGAGCCGGTGGCTGCCCACCAGTGCAGGCACAAGTCGCGATTGGAAAGCGGCCGGAGATATCACTGCTATCTGGAAGACAAATACTTCCACAGCACGGTAAAGAAGGCGCTTTGCAAAATATTTGTGAACACTCGCGTGCTCAGTCCACGGAAGAAGATGCCACAGATGCCGTCCTGCCAAAGAGAACAGTCATGTTGTACAGTCCAGGTAACCGCACCCACGAAACTATACTGCAACTATTTGTTGATGTGGCTAATTTTACGAGCATGTCTTATCTTTGCCCTGAGAGCTGCAGACCGGAGACAGCGGCCTACTTCGACTTCTGTATTTCTCCTGCTACTTACTACGAACCATGAGAAGAATTACACCGATGCTATGAAGCTACCGTAAGTGGTGCGGGTGCACGGAAATCGAGTTGAATTGTCCACCTTGCCTAGCATGGGCTAGGTTCCCTTTTCCCAGCCAGTCCGAGGCAATAATCTGTTGCGCTGCAGCTATATATCCGCAGTTGACATCTTCGCTGGTTTGCTTCTTCGTCTTTATGACGCGGATAGAATTGGCAACCTCGGCATGTATGCCATGTCTGGCACTGAAAACTTGCTGCCGTGTCCTACTCTCGACCAGACATGACATGACTACACGAGCCAAGCGTCAACATCGCTAATGGAAGACGCAACTGCACCAATGAACGCACTCCTCGTGTGGGCGGCAAGTCGCCACTACTCGGAAACTTTCGGACAACCCCCACCCAAAGCACAGTGCACCCTCCTGACCAGCTTCATAAAGTTTCCGGCAGGCACTGGTACCTCAAAGAAGGTCAGCTAGCTGCCCGAGTTTCATGTGGAGTGTCACAAAAGCAAGCAGTGCAACCTTGCCCATTGTCAGACCGTTCAGCCAAGCCACACGTTTCTGGAGAACGTTGCTGGTCACGAACCAGGGATAGTTCCCAATGACGTTCGCCATGTAATTACCCTCCCAACCCGCCCATAAAATTAGCAGTCCACCTTTAGACATTTTTTCTTTCAGCATGATCCAGCCTTTTGTTCCATCTGTCTGCAGCATCGTCTTGCAAGTATCCACTGGCGTGATGATGACCCGCCAAGCAGCACTCGAAACGGAGCCCACAAAGGTCGTTACACCAACTGGCACCTCTGGCGTGTGGGGAGCTCTGGGGAGGTGACAGCGCCAGGCTGTAGAGGATTATTTCACTATCTCAGCCCGGGAGCCTGAGGGAACAATGCGCCCATCAGTGCCAGTACCATGTCGTTCGCGGCGACATCACCAAAACGAGAAAGGGGCGCTTGAAATATTGCCCAGGGCAAGAGACCTTGATACAGTCTGGCGATTCCTGAGTTTCGGGTCAGGAAATAAAGGCGGTAAAGGTCGAAGGACACCATGGGCTGTGAGCTCGTGACTGATGCAACAAAATGGCCACCCTCACGGTACAGCTTCTGGAGTACATCAGGTAACGTTCCCCCGAACTTGTACCTGTCGCCAGCGTCGCAAGGAAAATAGAGGATTGGCACATATCATCTCACTTCGACAATGTGCGGAAGAGTTTCTGGTAGTTCATGGCGGTCCGCAGCCACATGAAAGCCAGCACCTTGAAATCAACAGCAAGTGAATTGTGGGCATGACTCTTTCATGACCACTTCTGCATCGCACAGAGCCTGCACGGTGCCGGCGAAGAAGCCAGCAGAACCGCTGCGCCATGCTTTTTGCAAGGCCATCGCCACCACCGCACCTGTCCAAATTGCGCAAAGCCTCTGCGAATTTGCGACCATGATGCGTCTCAGGGACGTAGCGCGAAAATTCTACTCTTCTGGAAGTGGTGACCTAAATATCCCAGCTTGTTCCGACAACACTTGTCAAACTTCCTGTAGTAGCCAGCTGCAAACATCACCCAACTGGACGAAACCTTCTTCTACCCCGTGCCGCTTGCCTCAAGCTCTGTGTGAACAGGTGTTTCCGTTGTCCGGCAAATTTTCAGTGAACCATTGATCATTGCAAATTCGACCCTGCAGCCTTGTGGGTAATTTATGGAGGACCTAGCATCACAAGTGCGACAAGTGTTATTTAGAGACGGGCTGCATGATTGCCACTGCAAAGAACACAGCCCACCACGGTGCTTTTGGGAAGTGTTGGCCGCACATCCTGGACCTTCGGCGACGATTGATGATTAATCTATCAATATGCCTCGAATCTTCCCCATGACAGCTCACAGTCAGGGCTGCTTCAGAAGGACATCTCAACTTTGAAAAGATTACAGAACCCAAGACTGCGTCACCAGAGCGAGGTCCTCGCCTAAGGGCGGCGGCTGCCGGACAATTTCAACGGAAGATGTTGCATTTGGGCACAGCCTTCTTGTACACACTGCCATGAGCAGCTGTACGAGTCTACTCCAACCTCTGTGTTGGCGAGCCAGATGGCACTGCAAAGGGCACGGGACAAGCTGCTGAGTGTTCTTCACAAACCAAACAGAAGGCTCCTGAGAACAAAGTCCGATGTCTTTCGCCCCACTCCGCATGCACATATCGGCACAAGTCTGAGTGCAAGTATGTGATGCTCATTGGCCCCGAAACTCAGGCGAGATCGCTGAGTTCGTCCAAGTTTCCCCGTCAGCAAAAAACATGTTCACGTCTGTCAGCACCCGTCAGACATCAAGAAAAAACAGCTATGCCTCGTGTATCATCTAAACGGCTATCTCGTCAGCTCAGCCGGCGATATGGACAAGGTGGTTGTAGGTCCAAGAGCTGAGCAGATTTGGCACTCATGGACTGTTCCGCCGCAGCTTTTGACAACGGCCGGCCTCTTTGGCGATTTCATCTCCTGGAGCGACGGACAAAGCAGTTGCTGCCTCGGAGACCTGGGCGGCGATATTTCGCAGGTTTCCTTGTTACGTGCCGTAACCGGACGCGACCGGACTGTTGGCGGCATGCGAGTAAGGCCTCAAAGTTCAACGCGGGAGGCAACAACGTGTGGACAGGTGAGCTGAAGGGTCGGAGGTTCTCCCAAACTTTGCCGGACAGCAGTGTGTCCCGCAGTGCCGGGTCATGCCGTGAGGGAGAGGTGACTTGAACCCATCGAGGCTCGGACAGCGGATAGACTCAGCTGCATCGGTCATGCATCTACCAGTTCCCTACCCCAAACAACATCCGTTGGAGAATGGGCACAAACAGGTATGCACTTCGGTAGGACAGCCAGCTACTTCGGAGCAGGAGCGCAAAGCACCTCACAGCAATGACACCAGTTGAGATATGACAGGTGCGTGTAGGCCGTCAAGCGTCTCATCCAAAAGACAGAAGCGAACAACCGAGGACGGCGTGCCAGACTTAAACGCCGAAGTTCAGACACAAGCCGTACCGCATAGAAGATCTGATCGACAGACAGGCACGAAAAAACGGCAACGATCTTTGGAGAACAGTGCTCCCAAGCATTTTCAGACGGACTGTGAACCTGGCATCAATGCTGGACACGAATCCAAGCCCCATTGCAGGACCTGTCCAAACATGCTGCAAACCACATCGGGCATGTAGACCCATGCTACGCTGCAGAATCAACCTGCCTTCACCATCGTCCTTCTGCCTTCGGCGAGCTGCTGGAATATGTTCCCACTGTCTGCGCGGCACTCTCCAAGCTCTCAGCTCAAGGGCGTACTGCGCAATGATGCAGCAGTCCTGCCAGACCATTGGCTGGACATGTGCTGGGAAAGGGCAATCGGGCCTCTAGACGCCTTTGGTATTCCAAGCATTCCCATGCACACCTGGAAGTTCTTGACTACATCTACCAGCGGCCCACAAGTGCAAGGTTCTGGCTTGGAGTGAAGACCTTGACCCTGCCTCTCCGACGACACGGGCTGTGTGGCTTTTCCAGCGCCCTGTGCGAAATGCCAGCTTCGAGCAGGATCAACCTAGAAGGTCCTCTTGCGGCAGGCCTCGTCACGCTGCTGCAGAATCCGCATGATTGCCTGCATAAAGAAATACGACACTGGGTCGCAGCCTGTTGCTACAAGTACGACTTAGACGGTGCCTCGTAGCGCCGTGTGACTGTTTTCAGAGGGAGAGCATACGCGTTCCTGAGTCGTGTGCGTGCCCTTGCACGCGACTCGGGCATCGGGTAGCTCAGGCCGGTGCTGTTTTCGGAGCTCCAAGACCATGCCAAGAAGAAAACAGCGGGGCTGGCGAATCCACTGCAGACATGGTGATCGGTTCTGCTACGCCCGACAATGCCTTGAGGTTCAGATTCATTATCCCGACTGCGACTGGGTTCCGCTGCAAGAGCTCAGCCTGTCATCGCAGGCGGAACATTTACTCAGTACGCTGGCCAGACGTGCAGCCTCAGCTTTGTCCATTTGGGCGGCAGTGACCTTATCTGCTTACGTTCAGCGATTTGCCGCTGGTGGAAGTGATGGGAATATGTGGGAGAATCAGGGCTCGGCCGCTTCAGGCTCTTTGCCGTTGGTTGCAGTGGCCTCAAGCTTTTTCTGCAAAGGCAAATGACAACTCCTTCCGACTTGGTGTGTCGAGCATGGATTTCCCGACCCGTCACACAGCCCATGGCATCGATTGCACGCTGAACAGCAGCCTGACAAACCTGTCCGGATTCACTGGGATGTGTTGGCCGAAAACTTTCGGAGATCTTCCAGGTGCGTTGGTGTACTGGTTTGAGAAATGAAGGCAGCTGTAACAGCAACCACAACCATCACATCCACGAACACGCTGCCACAGCCGTGCCAAGAACAACAGCAACAACAGCTGCGAAAGTTCAGTGGAGACCACAACAACCAATTCCGAAGTAACGTGCAAGGCATGTTCAACTTTGAAGCGAAGTAAGCCTGAAAGTTCACACAGCACTCCTGTCCACAGGACCAACAAGGTCCACGCTTGAGCCGCAGTGTGGCACGTCATCGAAAGTTTGAAAAATCTATCAGAAGAGAAGGACGCATGATGAACACTGCATACACACCCCTTTGAGCTTAGAGTAGAAGACTTTACGCTCGCATTAGCCATCGCTGATCTAAGCAGCAAAATGTTTCTACAGGAACATCAAAAATTGATCGTTCGTGGTGTTTGTTGTACATAAAGTCTGTTGCAGGCTGTGTAGCAGTCACAACATTTCGCTATGGAACAAGACTTGTTTGAGAAACTTTATAGCTCACACAAGCTGCGTGAGCAAGTGGGGAAAATTTCTTCGGTGTGATTCGGTCCGTTCAGACGGACACTTTGAGGATGCACCTGGGCTGTACCTGGACCGGGATCCTGAGGGTCACAAGTGCTTTAGGCGCGCTGCGACGACGCTTTCGCCTTATGCGCCTACGCTGACTTCGGAAACAGCATGAAACATGGGGCGTCGATTTTTCGCCATTGCCAAACTATGCTTTAGGTCTTTTATGCTCCCACACTGCTGGGCTGGACCAAATTTTGACAGTCCGTGCTTTCCGTGTGGCTCATGCCGGGCGGAAGTGCTTCAAACCGTAAAGCTCTAGCATCATCTCAATGTAAAATAGGCCCAGCCCAAGAAGCGTAACGCTTTGGTTCGCATCCCAAGCAATCGTCATCTTCAACAACTCGTCTTTCTGAAGACCCTGAACCAAAGCAGACACAACCACATGGGAGCCGAAAACCAAAGATCATCAACATCAGTGTGTGGCCTTCACAGTGAAACTCAAAAGGAGGAATTTCCGGAGGAATGACATTAATATAAAACTCTCCATCAACCCGGCCACGAAGACAAACCGCTTATGCCACCCTTTGGCAACAGCCAAAGTGAGTAAGCGAAGTACGGCTAAGGCTGTTAAGGAAGGGGGCCGAGGCAACAGTCTCACCTTTGTCTTCTACCTGCTGGGTGTACCCTTAAACCGAACTGCACCAATCCGGTTCTCGAGCTTAACCCACTTCGTAGAAATCGTAATGCCCACAAGGTCAGGAGGTCAGTGGGTTTGGGGCAAGGCAAACAGCACGGCCAACAAACAAAGCACTCATAAAACTTACTTCTGGGATCTTCGGCTTTACAGAATTTGCAACAATATCCGAGCTGGTGCCACTAAATGTTCTTCCGAAGCAAAAAACGATTGAACATCGTGCTCAATTCCTACAGACCCGTATCACAAGCGCTCAAAAGTTGATGCTATTTGCTTCGACCATCCAAGGAGAAAGTCTCAAGCGGGGACATGTTGGAAGGTCCACGAGCCGTTATTTGACCAAAATTGAAAGTGCACAACTCCTGTCGTCATTCCATCCGGATGGAAGCTAGTCCCCAAACCAAAGTTACTAAGCTAAACAGCGGACATCAGCAAAGTGAGGGCAATGGGTTGATTTTACTTTGAGCTTTGGGCTTGGGCTTCGACGTTCAAAGTCCTGGTGGACCTTGCAAAATTGCGGCTTTTGCAGCGGGGACATCTTTTTTCGGCCTCTTTGAAGGAGCGGCCTCTCAAGGCCAGTACTCCCAGTATTCCAAGGCCAAAGTGCATCAAGACCCTATCATCGCGAAGTGCTCCGAAGTCCAATCCGTCCACCCAGCCCAATCATCGGACTCACCAAAGTAAATCCAATCTCCTGTATCTTCAGTAGGGCAAAGGCGCCCTCTACCGTCAACAGCTGAAACACCCCAGTGCAGGCAGTTGCTCGAGAAATATCCTATCTTAACCCCACGATCAGTAAACGGAAGTTGACGAGGACGATAGCAAAATTATTTTCATTTGCTATCTTTGTCTTTTCCTGTCCGTTTCCTAAAGCTCCCACGCAGTCCTCCTTGTCTCCCTGATACTTTCGACAGTTTCTTTCCTGTTCCATCTCTTTTCATTCCATTCTTTCCCTTTTCCAATAGCCATGTAGCCAACATCCATAGGAGCCGAGGCTGCAGCTTGGAAAATTGCATTCGCCGAAGTTTGTGTACCGGATATCATGCTGATGGTTTCGGTGGGTGTGCGGTATCAGGCTTGGGAGCTTGGCGACCCAGGGTTTACGAAGTAAGGCTGAAGCTTGCAAGGAGGGTCTCTCCGAATCGGCAAGAACCATCATCGCCAGTATCACCATCTTCCTCGCCATCATCTGTATTACCTGGCATCCACATCAGAGTTATCACTATCATCAACAAGACACTCCTCCTCCTCCTTCTTGTGATTCGTAATTTCATCAGTCTCATCATACACGGACATGAGCAGAGTCATCACCGGCATCACCATCAGTCGTCATCATCCGGACAGGCAGTATCACATTATCACATCTGGGGTGAACAGCAATCAAGCACATGCGGCCGTCGCAAGAAAGCTCCAAATCTGAACGATTGTGAAGACCGTCCATGCCCGCCGCAGGAGGAATGGACGTTATCAGTTAACCCCCCCCCTGCCTGCACCGAAGCAAAACAAAAAACACTCCATGCATATCCACGTTGCCATGGACGTCATCACCCCACTCCCTCCCGCCCACTCTGCACTGAAGCACGAACAAATGCACATCATGCACATCCGCACTGCCATGGAGGTTACCACGCTTTGCAGTGGCAACCTCGCGCGCTGCCAACAACAACCACCACCACAACGGCGGCAGGAGCAGCAGCAGCAGCAGCAGCAGCAGCAGCAGCAGCAGCAGCAGCAGCAGCAGCAGCACCAGCACCAGCACCACCATCAACAACCCGTGTTGACACTCATATGGAGAACACTCCGCACGGCTGGCACTCCTTGGTTTCTCAATCGAAGTGGCGCGTTCCCACCCGAGACTTTCAACGAACCGGGGCCTAATCAGCTGGCAACGCTCTCGCAAACCAAAATCGCAAGTTTGAGGGTTCAACTCAGCTTTCATCAGCAAACAACGACAGTTGGGCTCCAGTTCCCCCGTTCGGTCGTTCACCCGCGAGAAAGGCATGCTAGAACACAGCTCCTGCAAAGGGCTAAGCCCTATACGCTCTGTCGTATGTCACTGTCACAGCCTTTTCCATCTTGCGTGTGTCAATCGGCTTTGTTACTGTGACTTTTCCAACTTCCCACAAGCGAAGTTCCACACACCACTGGCAGTCTCCAGGGAAGATAACGAGATGCTTGCACACTTAAAGCTGTCGACAAAGGCTTCCAACTCGTGCTTCCGCGTCGCTTCGCCTGCAGTGCCTTTCGAGCGTCCCCTCCAGCAGCTGCCACTCGAGCTGCGCAGAGCTTCAGAGCCTGCACATTCCATCAACACGATCTAAACGTGCACGGAAAAAAAGCAAACGAGCAAGAGGGAACAAGAGCCCGGCATCGTCTCTTATCGCCGCTTCTGCTCCGCCGGCTCGTAGGCGATCTGCCTTTCTGGCGCCCAGATGCGCCCAGTTCAGGTTTGCAATCACGACGCTTGCTACGCCTGTCAGGTAGCGACATAGTTTTCTAAAGCTCATCCCTTTGCACAGGCCCGAAAAGACGCAGGTGCAGGAATGCAAGCACGATTTCCCATCTTGTTCATTCGCACACGAGCGGGGCTTTCAACAAATCATTCTCAAACAAAGGTTTCGATCAGCGACTCAACTTTCATTTCAAACAAATCCCAATGCAGGGACAGGAAGTGAAGTTTTCGACCACAAAGTTAAGATTCAAGATGATTCAAGCCTCTCTTCCTTGCAGAGCTGACTTTCGAGCATTTCAACTTCGCATGCTGGGTCGCTGGCCAGGATGGTGTGAAGTTGGTCTCTATTGTAGGCTTCGAAGTTGACCCGCCGGATGCCCAAACGACTGCAACAGACATCTCTAGACTAGCGGCTCGCAAGCAGCCACGGGAAAATGCGGGAGCCTTGAGACACGAGGGAGTAAGCGCTCCGGCAGGTCCATCGTGTTGGCGATCGCCTCCATGGAGCTGACTCCACCGGATGTTTGGTATTTGTATTACTGGCGAGTTTCTCAATCGCATGATTGCCATACTGCAGCGACAGCGCACCACCACGACCAGCCGTGCAGCCGGTTGTGACATCCAGTCGAACAGGCGGTAGAGCACAGTCTGGCCCTGAAGGTGGGTCACGTGTCTCACTGACTCGGGTCAGCTGTGTCCGCAACCTGTGTAAGGAGTGCGTCGACCTCGTCGATGACAAGAATAACGACCTTCACCATCTCAAAACTTCAGATGCTGAAGAAGGCAAACACTCGACAAGCGAGTGAACATAAATGAACGGTTACGCAACTGTCTCGCCTCGCCACCTGCTTGGGTCAAGGCTTGGCGCAAAGCTTCCTGTCTCAGCCATTGCACTGCGTGCGCTTGCGTCCACACGGTGTGATTTCAAACTGGCTTACTTGGCATTTCGTTTGAGCTGTGCCTCTCCATCACCTCCTGGGCCTGGACCGCGTTTTCTCTTCTGCGCTTGTCCGAGAACCTGCATGCTGTAGGGCCAGCCAGGCCATGGGTTCGGTTCGATGCCATGTGATGTTGAGAAGATGCCTTGCGTTGAATTTCGGCGAAAACTGCGGAGGGGGTAGACAAACACCTGCCGCTTGCCACAGAAGCGTGGCTTCACAAGGAAACTGTAGACTTCTCAGGTTTCGGCATGGCATTCACGTATGCGAACTTGATCGGAGTGTTCGAATTGGAGCTTGAAGACCTCGGACTCGGAGCTCTGCGAAGGTCTACTCATTCTACTCACCACAACCGGCATGGACCCTGGTCCGCTGCTTGAAACAACAAATCATGGCTAACCTGCCTGGCTTTTTCCAGACGTTTCGCCGCGTCGAGGACCGAAGCAGTCTTTCCAGTGCCAGGCATGCCCGAAACGTAGAGAACCTGACATCCAGATGGTCGTCATGGCGTCACTTCTTCGGCCCCCTGGTTTCCTCCGTGGCCTCTTTCTTGATGTGGACGCGCAGTGAGGATTTGAGGAATTCCATGACCTGAGCATGCGAGCTCCAAGTCCCATCACACGCAGACTGTGGCAAAGAACACCATCTTTGGGAACACTGCACTCGCTTGCTCCGATTCACGGCACGGGAGCATGCCCTCTGAAGCGAACGGACGCAAAGCCTTAGATATACATGGGGCTTTCAAGATTTCGCGTTGCTTCTGCACTTCGCAGGTCGCATTTGGACGACCCGAGTCTTTGTGGAAGCGGGCCCAGCTGAGAACCAGGCTGAAAGCGCCATGAAAAAAATGCCCTCAATCGGGACGAAAAGAATCAGCATCGGCGCCACAATATGCCGCAATGCACTACGTGAGCCGACCACCTGCCTGAGGCCCATCTGGCAGTTTCCCCGGCGTCTCCTAACGGCTCAGAATTACGAGCTGCTGCCACCACACAGTCACTTCCGCTCTCCTTTTTTTCAAGTCCGCGGTAAGCTCGCAGACACTCCTCGCGGGAAGTTGCAACCTAAGCGCTTTTGAGCTTCAAATGTCCAAGGGTGCGCCTCCCGCTTCTTTTCACGATCCTTGTCCCAGTCCAGCTCCCACCTCATTGTCTTGTCCAGGTCTTGTCGAACAAGTTTGGACTGCTAGACTGCTGGGGCTGAAAACACCTGAGCAAAGTGCAGCACGTCACCTTCTCCCAGCAAACGGCGGCAAAACATGCAGCCTGCAAGCACTCTCGAAGGCATCGCCCAAAATCGAACACGTCACCACTGACAAGCTGCTGCGCGATCCAAGTGCCTGTAGCTTGGATGTTGATGTCCTCCTCGTCTGCCTCCTTGGTATAGGCCTCTCGACTTCACAGCTATCCTACCTTCTGAGAAGATCCAACAAAACTTTCCGGACATAATAGCTCATACCCAGCCCGAATCAGCTTCATGTCCGCTGTGGCGAGATCCACCAAGCATCACTCAGGTGGCCTTCTGCGAGAGAACTCGGAGAGGCCGCCCAGCCAGCGAGGACAAAGGCAGCTCTTCGCACTGGCACAAAGTGGCTCCGGGAGATGTGCACTGCTTTCCTGCATCGATGAATCGAACCTTCTCAGAGGCAACCAGCTCCTTCTCCGATAAGTTTGGTCTTGCCGATCCCTTTCTGAGCTCTGCAGCTTCGTACATGCGCCTGGCACAATCTGAGGGCACACTGAAAGAGCCACCCGAAACGCAGGCTTCCAGCCTCAGCACCATGAATTTGCCTTGTCCGTCCTCTAATGCTTCGCACTGTTATCACATGTTATCACTGATGGCCGCGGGACCTACTTCGAAGGTCCGTCCTCGACGAGCTCACATATCTCGCCACAGACGAGGCCTCCCTTGCCTTGTCACGGTTCCCCGCGTTGCCCATAGCTTGCGAATTGCAGAGTCAACATGCGAGGCCTCTGAAGGCGCGGACCACGTCACCGACCTGCCGAAAGATAAACACGACACCGAATGAGAAAAGGAGGAAACCTGGCCTCCAGGACGAAGCTGACTGCATGTCCTGTGCAGTGACAGGATCTCGACGGCAGCACTATAGTCTCAAAGCTTTCACAGACAGTTTCACCAAGACCGTATGTTTTTTCGTGCAAGCCGTTGGACAGAGTAACAGTAAAGGCTAAGCGACCATCGTTCCGGCAAGCTTTTTTGCACAAGAGGGCGACGGCTTTGCGGTCGCCCTTCATGCTCTGTCATCTCTATGACCATCCCTCATTCCAAACCAGGAGTGCCTGCTCGCTTGCAGCATCCACAGCGAAGACCCCAAACAAATCTGACATACTCTGCACGACTCTGGCCTGCTCTTTTTTTGGTAGGAAGCTTCACCGAATCGGCCGGCAGCGTCTGGTGTTCTTCTGACACCTCAATGCAATGCGCCAATTTTCATGAGCATGCAATCGTTCATTTTGCTGGGACGGCTGCCTGCCGGTGCAGCATTCAGCATCAATCCAGCACATTCCGTTCACGTCGGTGCACAACCTGTCGGCATCCGTCACCTAGCAAGAAGCAGCGGTGTGTACTGTTCTTGCGAGGATGCTAGCTGCTACTTGTACAAGTTCGTGCACCAGACTTTAGAACAGCACGGCACCTGCGTCTGAGCATCGCCTTGACTACTTCGCACTTCTTCCGATTCTGTCACTGCATCCGCGCTCGAAGTGGCACATGCACCTGTGGCACAGTCAACGTGAGAAAGTGCAAGTTGAATCACGTCGCTACACGCAGCGAACTGCTTTTCACAGCCTGGTGGAAGTGCGACGGCCAGAAGGAAGACAAACAGCCGCCAAAATCGACCGCACCCACCCATGGCCTCAAACGCTTCAAAGCACTGCTGGCTTCGTATACAGCAACTGTTTTGTTGCAGCTTGATCCTGGATGCTGCGAGCTGATTTTTCGACTTCGGGTGTCCACTTTGCAAGCCGACAGGCAAAAACCCTCCTGACAGGTACTCGACTCGATGGTGCCGACGCCGACTCCTGCTCAGAAGCTTCTGGCAGACACTAGCAAAAGCCCACACCGGGTCCGCATGGTCCTTTTTCCGACCGTGCGCATGAATGGACGCATCGTCGGCTCCTGTTGATCGTGCAACATGCGCAGCAGACGACTTTTGGTGCTGCCTGGCAAGAAGCTCCTCCTCCCCATCACTGAGCCAAGTGAATTTTGAACCTGACATGTCGATCTCACTCTCCTGCATGGCCGCTCCGCCTGCCCAAATTGCACATCGTTGTGCTTGGAAGCATTATTCCATTCTAGCAGTCGTGCCGCTTGACCTCGTGTTACCGCAGTTGAAGATGCAACAGGAGGACTTCGACTTTCCGATACTTTCGGCTGTCCTGGCTCGAAAACGACCAGGGTGCTCTTGTACAAAGCCATTGGAATCTGAGCTGCGTCCGCAAACACTAGACACGGCCTCGGCTCTTCATGACGGCCTCTTCCATTTGTTTTAGCTTCGCCTAGCAGCATGTGCATGGATGACACCCGCCTAAATGCCAAACTTGCCACAGGTAAGCGATTCATCACGATGTGTTTTCAACAGCGAGATTGTCAAGGGATGCCGGGCAGGCAGGAGGCACCGGCTCATCCACCCGTCCATGTGGCGAGCCCTCCTGTAACAAGATATTCGTATGTAGCTTGGCTCAGGCTCTCTGCAATGCACTTCCGACTCACGGCCTTGTGGAGACCACAGAGCTGGGTTCCGCCGCGGGGATTCCTCTCGCTGTTGTCATCAGTACCAGCATGCAGCCACAAGTTGACATGATTTTGCTGTAGACCGGATGGGCCGAGGGTCCTCGGGCACTGCCTACCGTAGCCGTCGCCCCACACCCTTGCCATGCAAAGGTCAGCGCGCACCTCAAGCGGGGTCAGAAAAAAGAACAGCACTGCACGTCACTGCACCGGAGGATCTTGCCTCTTCCTTCCTTGGGCCTGGTTCGAAAGAACACTTGGGCTCCTGATGGCCATGCCACACAACGTGACGCCCCACAACTCAAACACCGCTTCTTTCCATGTCCTGTGGTTTTGAGGCGTGGACTTTCGCTGGAACTGAATTGGACTTCGGCCTGAAGGGAGAGGCAGGCGCCGTGAAGCTGGTCTTCAGACGGCCTCCCCCCCAAGACAAAAGGAGAGGTTCAGCCGTCCAGCCGTCACTCCATGGAGCGGAATTCGCATTTTCGGCGGGATTCTCAGAGCAGCCTGTGCGTTTGCTGTGCAAAGGGCACTATGCTGCATTCGGGCCACCATACTTCGGTAGGCCCCGGCTTATGCGTCTACTCAGGTTTCCATGTTGGGGTTCCCCCGCGATCCTGCTTCCAAAGGATTATCGGCCACACACTTGGGGGAACCTCTGTTCAGAAACCCAGTGTCGGCTCCCATCGCAACTTGGACTGCGAAGAAGCGAACCCGAACTCAAAAGGCCTCGCGATCAGCGCTCCCCCTGGGCACTTCAAACCACACGTGCTCCGGAGTGGGGACTTGGACAGAAATGATCATGTATGTTAAGTTTGTGAAGTATGTATGGATGCGATCATAGATGCCCTTCTGGGGCTGGTGGGGCATGGGACGTGCCCGTCGAGTCAACACCCCGGCAGTAGTTGGCCTGTGGACTGTGGACAGCTGCCTTGAGCCTTCCTTTCGCTGGAAGGCCAAAGCTCGGCCAAGTACCGCACGTCTTTGTTCTTTTCTTTGCATTGTAAAATTGGTACTGAGACAGCGAGGCGCTCGCACTCGGCACCTCGTGCCTGGTAGAAATACATTCTTGGTGTGTTCGGAGCTCGCGCGTCAGCACCTCGACGGCTGAAAAAAGTCTTGGCGTCCACATCTCAGCTTGCCGCCGCTTGATGCTGTGCGAACAGAATCTTTGCAGCCGTGGAGGCGGTGACCGTATATACAGCTGATTAGCACGAACAGCGAAGACTGGAGTTGTCGCTCCGACAACCTGGGTTAAAAGAACTTAGAGCGAACAGTGCTCTACATTGGCAGTCTCCGATTGCTCAACAAACGAATGTTGAACTGATCTTGCTGCTGCTGCTGCTGCTGTGAAGGTTGAATTTTGATGTGCAGCTTGTCGGTGCTACCACTATGGCCTGCAGCCTCGGAGAAACTGCCAATTCGGTGACGTGTGCAGGGGCCACCATTGCGTGACCCAGACTCGTGAGAAGTCGTATGAACATCAAAGCCGGCAGCTCTTTCGACAGGAGGCTAGCGAGGCGAACCTGCGTAGGACCGCGCAAGTGGACTACGAGTCTGTGAGTACATGCTTGTGCTTCCGAGCCTGGCGCGGCCACCACTTGAGGCAGCCTGCTACTTACTTGAATTTCGTCATGGGCGACACCGCTCTGCGGGGAAAAGAGGCGGTGCCTTCCCCGGCGTCCTGCGAACCATCCAGCGGTCGGCCGGCTTGGATAGACCTGCAGGTTTGCTAGGGCCTCGAGTCAACTGCTGAGGAAACACAACAGGCATGCTGATGGTAATTGTCTCAGGAGTGTGCTCCGAGCATGGCTGTCAACATCATCTGAAATCTATCAGCTCCGGCCACACTGCTCTGGACAGCATTGCCATCCGCATTGCCTCTGAGAGCTACTTCCCGGCTTCTCACATCTGAGCACTTTGGCTGGCAGTGCTGCACATGTCGAGAATCCGGCACCGTCACGGCCTGCTATTCGGGATCATCTTTCTTTCATCCTATACGGACTCCGACACTTGCAGCTGTGCAAAGCAAATTTCGAGACTGGGACTGACAGCACTCTTCGGCAAACCACAAAAGACTTATGTCAGCAAGCGCAGGCTACTTAGGGCCTACTCCTAAAGGCTTCCGAGCGTCCGCCCGGGTAGCCGAGACCATCTCCGGCAGCCACAGGAAGCAGGAAGGACCAACGAGTCTCTCTTTCACACAGAAGCCCATCCCGTCAAAAGCCTCGGACCAAGATTAGCCTCAAACCGGCTGGTCCTAGCCTGTCCTACACTTAACCTCAACACAGGATGTCTACGACTCTTCTTGATTCGATGACTTGACACAAACTTTAACGATTTGGGGATTTGAAAAAGTCCGTTTAGCTCTTTTCCCTACGAGGTATCACAAGATTACAGAACTACATGATATGGCTTAGATCCAGGACCAATCCGAACCCTCAAACTCGGAGCGCTTGACTCTTGACGTCATCGCAAATCCACCTGTCCTATTAAACATTATTAAACTATACCAGCTGGAAAGGGCCAATATGCAGGTGAAACGACGCACTATGTTGCAACCGACCGGCCAACTGATCTCTCACACTTTCACCATACACTCAATACAAAGTTGCTTGAAATCGAACTGATTGAAGGAAAGCTCGGCAAGCGCTGGCATGCCGCTTCCCTTCATTATGGAGTGCTGTCGCCCACTAAAAAACGTGGTGGGGCAGATTGTGGCCCTGTGCTTACGCCAGGGAGCCGATCCTTTTGAACTTTGGCAGTGTCCAGCCGATCGTGAAGCAGGTAGGCTCCCCGGCATCTGGAAAGAGCTCACCTGAGATTTTGGTCAGATGTTTCACGTTGCTCAAGCAGGAAGGTGCTGCCGTCAGCTGCTCAATCGGACAAGTTGGGGACGTTCATGCATCAGCAGGTATCACAGCAGCAACACCTTAACCGATCCACATTGTTCTGCTTTGGCACTCGTCGGGGACCAGCAACACTGCAACAACAACTGCTGCGCCAGCGAAATTGGTTCCAAGGCGACAGCCCTCACGTCGCTCCTGTGACAGACCTGAAGCAGCTGGCCAGCCTTGACAACGCGCGCAGCTTTCCAAGACTGTGCCGACCAAACCTCACAAGCCGTAAGTTAGCGTGGAAGGTGTTGACGAGGCATAGGCAGCTCGTCTGCGTCATCGTCTGCATCTTCGTGAACTTGTCCGGTTTCCTGATCTCGCAGAGCCATGCTGACTACAAAATAATACAAACAGGAGTGCCACTGTGAATGGCCAGCGGCCAGCATCAAAAGAAATCGTGTGAGATGCTTGTGCGCCCAACGCAGGACCATGGGTGGGATAATGCTGCCCTGCTGCGGAGTTGGAGTCAGCGGCCGACGCCACTGAACGATTGCTTGAGGCAGCCGTTGTCGTCTGCTCAGGGTGACTCACACACTATGTGCTCTTTCTGTCAAAGGGTTGAAGTCATGCTCACCTTACTCTCTTTTGCAAGAGCTGAAACCATTGTCTTTACACCGTGCACTACTTGTCATGAGTCTGCTCAAGAGGTTCCGTTCCGTGGCGTTGGACCATACGAGCTTACCTGAAGATTCTGGGAACGGATGTTCCACGGCTGATCCGACACTTTCGTGGACTTTGGACTGCCTCTGCCCAGGCTCGCACTTCGGACTCCTTTCTCGCAGGAAGAACTCGAACCATTAAATTGACAATCAGCCCCGTGTTTCGAGTCCTCTGTCCGTGCATGGCCGCCATGCCGCTTAGATGCCCACCTTGCGTGCTTCAGCGACACTGCGCAAGTCAAAAGTCAAAGCTTAACTACTGTCATAGCGATTGCATCATGGATGTACCTGAGGCATCCAGGGTGCTGAGAATGGTTCGTACCTCTCAGACTGCTCCCCATGGAGGGACCTGAAACCAGTCAAGACTTCCAGAAAGAGGAGACCTCTGCCGCTTCAGGGGCGAGGGTGGCCTGCGCATTGTTCGGATCCCTCCTGCGGAAATGACAGCAGGCACGAAGGACGGGAGCGGCAGTTTACATAAGGCCGGTGCCATGCCCCAAGTTCTGGTGTAACCTCGAGCGATTGTGTCTCCCGCATTGAGGGCAGAGGCTCCGAACTAGGGCAGCCACCAGCAGATGTTGTGTCCTAGCACAGCAACTGTCATCACATCTTAGCCAACAGAACCGCGCATCACGTCCTGCACCCAAGCAACAGAGTCGTAGCACTCCTCACGTGGACTCCCGATGAGGGACGGGGGACGCCACATCTTGGGGGCCTTTAGATGCTTTTAGGCTTCGGATCGGTTGCGCTTGAGCGCCTCTGCGAGCATTCCCTCGGAGGAGTCAGGGTCAGCAACAGCACATCCCACCTGCGCCATGTTTTAGCACGGTGCCGGAGGGCCAGACACAGCAGGGGATTCAGTGGTCCGGTGCCTCCATCACCTCGCCCATCCAGTGTCCGAACTCCGGATCTGCGTAGTGTGCCTGATCTCGTTGTCATTAGCGGTCAAGTTGGGTTGGAACACGGACTGCACCTCGTCCCACATCCCGATGTCCTGGTGTCCGGAAAAGATCTTCGAAGGAAGTTCGTAGACTGTTGGAAGGAATACTTTTACAACGTGCTTCCCGCAGAAATGATCGCCTCAGGCATGTGATATTCGGCAGAATCCCAGGCTGCGAGTTCTTGTTCAACTGGTGCTCCTGCGAGAAGCAAAGCAGAGCCTTCCCAGAATCTGAGTTGAAGTGCACGAAGCTGGCGATCCCACGAGTACTCGTTCAGCCGCAGGATCGCCGGATTGTCGTGCCAGTGCCTCTCCGGAGTGCTCGCAGAGGGGATTGGGAAATATTGGGAAGGCTGCGTGGTGCTGTCGACGCCTCTGACAGAGCTTTGCTGGCTCGATCCCCGAAGGCCTGTTCGACCTCATACCTCCGCGGCAGGCAAACGTGCAGTCGTGGAATGTAGTAGACCTTCCGGACCTCTTTCTGGTTTCTGGTGATGCGCCGCGGTACTTTGCAGCCTTTAAGGCCTCATGAAAAGCAGGCAGATGCTGACGCAAGCATCTCGGCTATCGAGGCGGACTGCATGTAGTCGGGTCGGTCGAATTGACTGCCCCGGACACGGGCAGAGCGTGGGTGCGAGTCGACTTTTCTGTTGAATCTTTTCCCCAACCTATGCTTTGCACTGATGATCACTGATGCGGTCGCTCGGATCCCACCCGAGTTCTGAAGCCTTGCGAGTTGAAATTCTTCCAGGAGATTAAATGTGCATTTGCACGAGCACCGCGACATTCTCGACAGGCCACTGATGGCAGCGCCATCCTTCGGCGAAGCTCGAGGCTACGGCCCAACCCTAAAGCACCGCACCATACCGCATCTATGCATACCACTAGACCCAAATGCCAACAGGAGCTCATGGCAATCGCCCATGGGCTCTGACTGCACGTTGGAGGCCTGGATGCAGTTACCTTCGATAACCACCTTCATACAGCACCCTTGTTTATCGCCTGCACGAACATCCTCGCAATGGCAGGCGGCCAGCTGTGATTTCGTTTACCTCGGTTTCATTTTACTTCGGGGGCTTGCTGCCCTCGCGTTTTCGGTGCATTTTCGTGGCGACACTGCGATTCAGTCCATGCATTTGCAATGTCTGCGAGCATGTTTGCGCGATGACGGGGAGTAGGCGGGACGGTCTGCTCTTTTTCTGGCTGTACAGTGTCGACAGATGATGCTGGCGTAGGCCATGAAGACACTATTTTTTTGATGCCTCTCTCTCTCTCTCTAATATATATATATATACACATATCAGTCGCCTTCCTATTTTCGAGGCAAACCCTTCGTGCTACTCTCGAAATGCTACATGACTTTGTCTGGTACTAACTTCGAACTGCGTTCTGCCGTTCATTTTGACCCAACCAATGTCTGACAAAACTCCGTCTTGTTGAACGTGAGCCGCTTCTTCTTGCAGCGTTAGAGACAGTTGCACCTACAGACACAAAGACCTGTATCTTTCTGTGATTCTGGTGCTTGCTCAGGTATGGACAAGGTTGGAGTTCTCTAGCTTCTGCCTATGGGTTTTCGGGGGGCCATGAACGAACGGCCTGCTCAGCACGACGCTTCAGCTCTTCACCTCAGACGTCTGGCAGCGTCGATGGGGTAAGCAAGCACACTCACACTTACTGCATTCGGCTCGTGTCTACAACGAGCATGGCTCAGGAACCGACGTGGACTCAGTGGCCTAAGCCGGAAGCCGAAACACCCATGCGCGACAAACATCGCCTATGAGGAGCACACTCCAAGCTCTGACTGTATCCCAGCTGACTCCCTGCACCCTGCTCTCCTGTATGTCTCAACTTGGCTCAACAAGGCAGCCAACCTGTCGAGCCCAACTTCATTTCTTGCCTACATACAGGGCCTACCTTCCTCGCTGCTGCTGCGGAGCTCACAGGCTCTGCGCTGGCGCGCAGCTGCCAAAACCTGAGGCTTTGTACTGCTGTGCTGCCATCTTGCACCACCCACCCTCTGACTCACTATTAACTTGACATGCTTGCTTTGTGCTGCACCTACAGCGGAAGTACTAGTTAAGAACTCATTGCTTAAGACGTTGAGGGGCTGAAGTGTCCTGCACATTGCGATATTTCACCATGGGCGGTATGCCTTTGACTTCTCAATTTGAGACCCCTGACACCTGGACCTCAGAGTCTTAACTTTTGTAAGCTTTGCAACACAAACAACTTCCAATTAGCAGACCTCCAAATTAAGAATCTGAGCGTTCAGACACTTCGCTTCTAGGACTGCGCAGAATGCTTTGGATTAGTCGTGGGGAAGCCTATCTGAGCCTCTCTCCCTGAAGCTGGCCGGGGAAATTGTGGACCCCGTCAAAAACCTGTAGCCCTCAGGCCCTAAGAGTCTGACCCCCTCCCTCACCTACCCGACCCGCAGATTCTTAGCTGTGCTGTAGGAGCTAGGATGCTACAAATGTAAAACGACCAATGCAAAACAACTTGAACCATACCGACCAATGTGATCTAAGTGAAACCACAGCTGCTGCAAACCCATGTGCCGTGTTGCCTCAGCAATCTTGTGCGACATATCGTTGCCTTTTTGTCCCTGCTCCTGATCACAGTTGAGAGCTTGCTCTCTGCTGCTATTGGAGTTACAGCGCTTGCGCCTCCAATTCTTTCTTGAAATGCTCTTTTCGGCTGGTCCTTGAAAAGCAGACATCTGCTTGCAAGGCTCACTGGTAAAGGGGCATGGCCTGTCAAGCGCGCGGCTCGGCATGCTTGTTTCCGGAGAAAGTTTCTGACGTGCAGCTGCAGCTGCAAGGGCCTGTTCTTTGACTGCTCTGTGGACATGTCTATGCCACTGCTGGTCAGTTGGAACCTGTTTTGCCCGAGAAGACACGTCGGGAGGTGCAGGTGGTGGGGGACAGCTCGGCGGCGGTGGCCTGACTTCAGGTGCAGGTTACTGACATGTCCAACATGTCCGTGCAAGGCACCTCCGTGACACTGCCATCCTGCCTCCACCTGCAGTCCGTAAATGTAAGAAGCCAAGTAGCATTTAAAGAGCGTGGAACAAGGAGTGCCTCTTGTCAAGGTTGTAGGCCACAAGGGGCCAACCCCACGAGAGCAAGGATCGCAAGGACCCTTTGAGATTTGGAGCCGCAGACAATTGCATGCCGATCAAGCACTGTAGCTACAAGGAGCGCATCGGCAAATATGTTCCACGTTCGGTACCGTCGGGTCATTCTGCAATGCTTTGAATGCACTACGCCAGAGACCCGGTGAAACAGGAGTTGTCCTTCACCCCAAACTCAGAGTGATGGACAGGATGTCAGTGGTTGACATTGTATCTAGCATTGCCGAAGACTGGAGATGACTGGAGCGACCAAAGCATGTCTTTTGCATGCCGATCACCCGTGCCAGTGCACGCATAATGCTACTATTCACACGCAATTTCAACCAGAAACAATGGAACTGCCTGAAAATCTCTGAAGACGGCAAATATCGATGGAGACTCCATTGAATCCACCGTGGTGTCGTATCTGTCTCCGTCGTCATTGCATACTGGTGGCTCCACATCGCTTGGGGAGCCTTTGCAATAGCGCCCAACGAGAACCCTTGACAGAATGAGCACCTTGGTCCCATGCTGGCCACCCCCTTTGTCGCAAAACCTCAGGGAGTAGCGTGGGTCTGAAGAGAAATAGGTAGCGTGGCCCAGAAGTGTGCCGTGGCGTCCTGCAAAGCTCCGGTTGAAGCCTTGCCTTAGTTGTGGTGAACCGAGAGAACCGTCCCGAAACTCTGCAAAACAGTCGAAATGCCGATTGGTCTAGTCGCTGGCCATTGCTATCTATTCCTATGCACATGTGCAGATAATGCCTGCGCTGACCAGGTCTGCAACTTGGATACTGATAGTTACACAGAAACATGCAGAAACCGACTGGGCGGCCCAATCCCCACCCTGCAGGGTGCCTTCCTGCTAATGTATTATCGCGTTTGGGGCCAAAGCTAGAAGCAACGCTGGCGGACCAGCAGCGCACTCCGAAGACGACGTCTGCTACTACTGCTACTGCTACTGCTACTGCTACTGCTACTGCTACTGCTACTGCTACTACTACTACTACTACTACTGCTACTACTACTACTACTACTACTGCTACTAGTAGTAGTGGTAGTACTACTACTACTGGTACTACTACTACTACTACTACTACTACTACTACTATTACTATTACTACTACTACTACTACTACTACTACTACTACTACTACTTCTACTACCACCACCACTACCACTGCCAGTACCACCACTACTACTACTACTACTACTACTACCACCACCACCACCACCACCACCACTACTACTAGTTCTACTTCTACTACTTCTTCTACCTCTGCTAATACTGCTGCTACTACTACTACTACTCCTCCTCCTCCTACTGCTGCTACCACTACTACCGCTACTGCTGCTGCTACTACTACTACTGCTGCCGCTGCTGCTGCTGCTGCTACTACTGCTACTACTACGACTACTACTGCTACGACTACTACTGCTACGACT